GCTAGGGGTGTGTGTCCTTTTTTTCTATCTGCTCCTTTTGTTTGATTTTTTATTTGTGTTGCACTCTGCTTTTGCTCCTTTGGTCCTTGTTGTTTTCTGCTTTCTGCTTTCTGCGGACTTGCAGTGCATTCGAAATGCTTACCAAATTGTCTTTATTTCAAATGCTGGTTTTGAAATATTTAATTTTCATTGAAATTCATTGCAATTTTCTCTCTACGCTTAAAGCGACCGCTGAACTTTTTGCCAACTTGAGTTTTCTTGTCCTGACATCTCTGTTCTTTAGCTCTTGTTATATTAAAGTTTCTCTTCTCGTTTTTTATATTTTATTCTAGCTGCTATCATTTTTGCTGTTTTAGGATCTTTTTAATTAATTTTGCATTTCGCTGCAGCTGACAAGCAGTGCCAGCCATGGGCAAGATTCAGCGCTAGGTTCACTTTCAGCAATTAACTAAATGTTGCGTATACGCCACAGAGACCGCGGATATATATGTAGGAGCTCTTGTGTGCTAAAAGCACTAAGATGACAGAACAGAATTTTGCTGCACAAAGGAACGATACGAAAAGTAGAGCCAGGAAAATCATTGAGGAAGTTGTGAACCGATATGCGGAAAACTACAAAAGGTGGATTACATTCTGCCTGTCAAAGGCAAAGCTCCAATGATGAGACTAAATAGGAAATCACAACGTCAGGAGTGCTCCCTCCTCCTCCGTTTGTCAGTCACTCAATCAGCTTCGTGTACCTGAATATCCCCATGAACAAGAACAGGCACGGCATGGAGGGAGAAAATAAAAATGAACCAAGTCCGGAGACCACAGGCAGTAGGGCAACCTTTGACAGCTGGAAACCACTTAAATTATATGCCTGCTGAGAGCAGGGTTGCCTCCAGCTCACCATTCTACCTTCTGCCCCCTGCCTCCTGCCTCCTGTCAGTTGCTTATGTTAATTTTCCACCGGGCCTAGGCTCCCAAGCAATTGACATGAACTGAAGTGACTTACTTTGTGGTCTTTCTCTACCAACGAGACGACCCCCCTTTGACGCCCGCAAATCTCTGAGGTAAATCTCGGCAACAGGTGTCAGGGGTTGGGCACTGAGACTTTGAATGATTGAACTAAGCAATTGCTCATGGTATGTGCTGAAATGTTATTGAACAAAGTTTCACCAGGACTTTTCGAAACAGGCAATAAAAGAAAGCCATAACTTGTTGCTTCCATAAACTGGTACATACATTTTTCAAAAGGAATATTTTCTTAACGAAGGAAACTTTGTGAAAAATATAGCAACCAGAGCAAGGAAAACACTTTAAAAATCTAGGCTGCTTATGAAATAAATAAAAAAGGTGACTAAAGGTGTGAAATGTAATTTTCAAAGCACGGAATTAAGTAAACCTTTCCCTTTTTTGTGTAAAATTGTTTTAACTAATTGATTAAACCTTAAGATCCATATTATTTTATGTTAGTTTTCTTATTATTTGATATAATATTTTATTATACATTTAACTTATGCTGATTTTATGATATTATTAATTACTGCTGCATTTTTAGCCCTCAAATTGTTTCTAAGAAAACTTTCTCAGCCTTTGAAGGCAACTTGTTGCTTAAGTAATGTAACACGCAAGTTGGTAAAGTACTTGTTAAATCATAAATAATAAATATTTCCTTGGCTCACATAGCACGCAAGTTGACAAACTTTTCAAAAAGAGCAATTTCTTAGCCAATAACTGTGAGAAAAATTCCTGTGAAAGAGTAGTTTAAAAAGGAAGCCCTGTTAAATATGCAAATGAGAAGGGGGAAATGAAAAGCCATATTAATTACTGCTGCATTCTGGAATGCGAGTTAATTTCCCTGCCGCCATCTGTCTAATGGCTAATGAAGTGGCCGAGCTTTTCCGCTTTTCCAGCTTAACTAGGCGCATGGCCGGCGGCATTAGCAGAAACATTTCTATTTCAAAAACAGAAGCAGCAGGACTCTGGCAACACACAACTTTTGACAACAAACGCGTGTAAATAGCAAAAGTTTTGCTTGTATGAACCCAGTAAACACAGAACAAAACACAGAGAGAGCAGCAACCGAACTTAACTGAACCGAACAGAACTGTTCGCTTAACTTGGCGGAAAGCTAAAAATCATTTAAAGTTCATTGGTGCGAGAGGGGGAGGGGGAAGAAGAACTAAGCTGATGTCTAAACAGTAAAGTTGCATGTTGGCGGCTCCTAATTGCTTAAACAACTAACTAACAGCCGAGCAGGAAAATCAAGGGGGTTAAATGCACAGGGGTTTTCAGGTTCAGGATCCAAAATACATATATGTAACATACCAAACAGTGCACTGACCTGCATATGAAGGTGGAGCAAGTGTTCCAACACATGTAATACTCTCCTTGTACAAGCCGTATGCATAATGTTGTCTAATTAGTTAGGCCAAAAAACCACGCCCCATTCAACACAATGCAGAAAAAAAAACTTGAAGGAGTTTTCCCGACATAAATTAAAACAATAAAAAAAGGCTGCCTGGCAAAATCTCATTTCGAAATGGAAAAGGCATTAACCTAAAAGGAATTAAATCAGATTTTCACTTGAGTATCTTTGTCTTCTTTTATTTTTATTTTGTCTCAAAGGAAATTTTTAATTGACTTGATCTTGAAATAAATATAGATAGAATTTTATTTGGTAATATTAAAAAGTCTGTCTTTTGGTTTTTATTCTTTTGTAGGGTATCATAATTGTAGTCGGAAGTTTGCAATAATTCGGAATTGACCGGACCGAATGACTATATTATATATCTGACATAAGAATGATTGGATAATAATTAGAAAAATATGTATAACCTTTTCCAGTTTCATCTTATTTGAATAAAATTCATTTATTCATTTCATTTTATAATTTCGTCGTTAATTTTATTGTAATCGAACAACTATATTATATAGCTTCCGTAGGAACGATCGTTAAATGTCGAGAAATACAAATACAAAACTGGGTCTCTTTTACTCTATCCCGCCAATTTTCACTGTTCCTATCTATCGTTCTCCCCCTCTCTCTCGTACTCGCACACTCTCCCCCTCTCTTTCGTACTCGCTCACTCTCCCCCTTTCTCTGCAGCTTCCTCTGCCTATCTCTGGAGTTCTCTATTTCTCTCGCGCTCTCACTTTCTCTGTTCTCTTTGCGGCTCGGTGACTATAAATAGAGGCACTGCCGTCGAGCTGGCCTCAGTCTGTCCGTAGGGTGCCTAGTGTTAACATCTCTAGTGATAGTGGCAGTGATCGTGATTGCTCTTCGACCCCAAAAATGTTACCAGTATAATACATCTGATTAACCAAAATACCAAACCCGGTCTTGTTAAGTATTAAAATTGTTGTTCATAACATTTTATTGTTTTTATAATACTTTACTGCTTTCCAAGTTAAAACTAAAGAGTTTTGGGCTAATTTATGATCGATTTCATATTCGAACCCATGGTCCTATGTATAACTGCCCCTGTGATTGCATCAAAAGAGTTCTTTTTTTATGAATTTCACTTTAAGTAATCTTATAGCACATAAAGTCTTTGGCAATTTTCCTTTTTGCGTGAGCCTTGCGTAATTGTATTCTGGGTAAACTTTATCATCAGCTCCTTTTTCGTTCCTTCCTCCCCTTTGCTTTCTCGGTTGCAAGTTGCCTGCCTATGCATTTGGCAGTGTAATTTTTCAACTCTCGCCAAAATGTCAGAGGCAGGCCAACATGCAATTTATGTTGTTTGCTCAAGATTATTCATAACGAAGTCTAGAACTGTTGCAGCCTGGCTTTTTCCCTCCCACTCTCTCTCTCGCTCTCGTTAGCTGGTTTTTTTTTTTTTTTGGTGCGTTGTCAATGTCCAAAATGCTGCGCATGCAGTTTCCTAATACCATTTCATGCTCGTTGTTTTTTTGTGCTGATTTTGCTTTTAAAACGCGAGCTCAAATTGCTGACCATTTAGGGGGGAGTTTTAGGATCAAAAGAGGGGTTGCGAAATGGTGAAGAGGGGTGGATAGCAAATAGGGTGTGCGTTGTGTGTGTGTGTGTGTCTGTTGCCTGCCTGGAGGGGGGAACATGACCAACTACATGTAATTTTACGCGCAACTTAACTTGTAAACTGCCAGCCAACCAATGCCACCGCTCAAGTCCCCTTCTCTATACCTAAACCTGTACCTATACCTGTACTCTATATATGTTTATACACACTCACCTGTATCAATGTTTGGTGTACATGGCGTATGGGTATTATGTACGTTTGATGCATTTCGTGGCTTTGATTTCCAAATTAAAGATTAAAGTGGCCGCACAAAATGCGCACTGTGGTCTTAACTTGAAAGCGCTACTCTACCGCTGCTCCCCCGACCTCTTTTGTGTTATGGGGATAACGTGGCGTATGAGTAATGTGAGTAAATGTTAAGCATACGCCCTGTTGGGCATTAAGCTGGAATTACAGGAATTTTAGTCGAATATCAAAGAGCAAAGCAAAACCAACAATGAGTTGTGCTGAAAACGTATTCAGCAAAGATTTTCCGAGGAAATTAAGCAAACAAAAATATAAGCTGTTTAAGGCAAAAGTAAACTTCTAGCGAAAAGATAATCAAATTGATGAAAACCAAACAAAGAGAAGACTTGAAGTAAGCTTTCCTGGTAATTTCGGTTGTAATAGTACGACTAATTTATGGTGCATATCTGCGAGTAAAACCATAATGAATTCCAATCCCTAACTACCAAAAACTAAACCAATTTCCATACCATCTTCCAACCATTTGGCACATTTACAAGTCGTTGTGTTACACAGCCTCCCCCTCTTTTTCCCCCAAAGAAAACCCATTATCATATTGTAATGCCGGAACAGTTCTCAAAGGATGTCGACATCATCTCCTTGGGGTCGCATTTTCATCGTCCATTGTTCGATTAATTGCTTCAGTATCCCATTATGCAATGCCATGGCTCTCACTAATTTACATGTCCTTTCACCCCGCTCTCTCCACTCTCTCTCTGTCTGTTTTTGCAGGTACGACTACGAGACTTTACTGCAAAATTCCACTTTCTGCCTGGTGCCGCGAGGACGCCGCTTGGGTTCCTTTAGGTAAGCATGAAAACAGTTAAAAATATAAAAAAGAAAGGCAGGTAAAATATATATTAAAAAACAAACAATTTTCATTTCACAATTCCATTTTTCCATGGTTTTTTCTGCACTATTTTTTAACAATTTTTTCTTACTTTCTTTTTGTACAGATTCCTGGAGGCCCTGCAGGCCGGCTGCATTCCTGTGCTATTGTCCAACGCCTGGGTGTTGCCGTTTGAATCGAAAATCGATTGGAAGCAGGCCGCCATTTGGGCCGATGAGCGCCTCCTGCTGCAGGTGAGTCCTGGGGGCAACAACACATCAGTATTGATATCTATAGTTGGTATATGGCTTCCCCCTCTATATATATATATATATTTCTGAAATATTGAGCAGAACTGTGGCAGTTTGTGTGCCACTTTCAGAGTCGTTTGGCCAAAGCGATTTCATTTGGCTGTCTAAAAAGAGAAAACTTTCCATTGTTTATGTTGACGGGAAGTCCTGTGGAAGTACTTTTTCGGGCTGGTAACCAACACATAAATACGAAACCTTGCAGCGTTGCAAAATATTTGTTGCACTTTTTATTGGCCTCGCCCTCGGCAAAATGTCCAGCCATTTGCCCCCATTGATGAATATTCTGCCAAGACTTTTAGATTTGTGCACCTGCGCTGGCTAGCGAGTTAGTTCAGGTGTCCGACTGGCATGTCCTTGGACAAGGAAACAGGTAAAGCAATTAATTTGAAAAGAACAAAATGTCAGCTAAAGTCCGTCCGAGTTGATTGATTTTAAGGGATAATAAAACTTAGTAATGCAGTTATAGTTTCTGTAACTACTCAATAGCATCTGTTGCACTTTAACCTTTATTTCTTCAGGGCTTCAAGGTAAAGTGTCCTAAAATTCCACTCAAGGCTTATCACGCTTTGGCTCCTCCATTAGGATTGTCCACATTTTGGCGCTTAACCCTCTGTTGGCCTCTGTTTGCGGCAAAGATTTCCCAATCAGAGCCAGGTGAGTGGTTCTCAACTGTTTGTCCAAGTGTCGGCACCTTTTTCGTGTTTCCTTCGCAGCGAAAGCTCTTTGACAGTCCTTGCTGGTGCTGATGATAGTGCTGGTGTGTCCCTGTTTCAGTTGTTTGCCAGTGTCCTGCCAGTGTCCTTTTTCGTCACGCTCTTGCGCCTTCTGCTTCTGCTAATGCAGAGAGAGAAAAAATAAGCTAAAGTGATTTACGATTGAATAGAAAAGATAATCAACTGACTTACACGTTATTCTTATTTTTGAGAAACCTTTAATTGGTGTTGATAAATCCCTAGAGATATCTTAAAGTCTTGCTCAATATCCTTTTCTTTTGTCCCGGTGTCCTTTCAGTCGCACTTCATTCGCGACAAAGTCTTGGCGCCATGTTTGTCCTTGCGATTTTTCTCCTGCTTCTCCTTCTGCCTCAGACCCTTCAGACCCACCACGACCTCGTCCTCTTTTTCTCGCCTTGCACTTCCTGTTCCTCCCCCGTTCCCCATTCCCCGTCCAATGGCATGTTTGCCTTTGTAGTTTATTGGCAGGAAATGCAATTAATTAAGTTAACTTGAGCAGGAAACTTGAGCATGGACTCCAAACTCAACTCAAGTTGAGTCCCGTCCCATCGACTGGCTGGGCAAACTCTTTAAACTGTTTGGATTTAGTGCAATGCCGCCTGGCTTCTATAGCTCCTGGAGTCCTGCTCCTGGAGTCTTGCTGCAATTATGATGGATGACACCCGTGGGGCGGCTGCAATCCTTTAACCAATTAAGTTGTGCATTGTAAATTAATGCGCATTATGGCTCAGCTGGCTTGGGATAAGAGCAGCAGCCTCTATTAAGCTGGGATTACGTATACGCCGGGTATAACCATCACTCAGCTCTCTCTCTCCTTCTCTTCTACATAGGTACCCGACATCGTTCGCTCCATACCACCAGAACGCATCTTCGCCCTCCGCCAGCAAACACAGGTCCTGTGGGAACGCTACTTCGGTTCCATCGAGAAAATCGTCTTCACAACATTCGAGGTGAGTCTGAAAGTGTCTCTCTGGGGAGAAAGCATTTGCATACGTACAAGCCATGCCACCTATTTGCGGCCGATAACTTGGGTGCCCCCAAACTTTTCCAGGGGGCACATCACAGAGGAGGGTTTCCAGTGGTGGGGTCTCTCGAAATAGCGACTCGAACTTACTTGGCAAGTTGTTGCGGCTTTTGTTGGTTCGCTCAATCGACAAGAAACAAGTAACGAGAATGTTCTTTGCTCTACTTAGCGACTCCTGGAGGGATTCCGTGGGATAAATGAGGGATGTGAGGGAAGATCCTGGCGAAACTTCGGAACTCGGGAACTTGGTAGATGGAACTATGCAACAACTTGTTCTCGTGTCCTAGAGTTCGCACAGTGCGTGTTGTAATTAAACGAACCGAACTTTATGTTTGCAAAGTCAGAGTGTTTACCTCGAAATTAAATTAGTAAAAGGAAAATAAATATAAAAGAAAGTTAGTGCCATATTTGTGTTTCTTAGTTTATTTTGTTTAATATACATTAACAACTTTTTTTAAAACCGAAGAGGTCTTAGAAAAAAGAACTACTACTCAACTTTATAGTTAGAAAGTTCAGGTAAAATTGATCTCTTAAAGAAGGTTTTTGTACTAATTTAGATAAGCTTTTATACATCATTTATTTTGTTAAAAAGAATTATTTATTTTCAATTCGTAAAACCTCTTTGGCATACTTTCTGTACCCACTGTATTTCGGCATTGATTTGCCTATGCAAAAACTACACTCTAAGCCTTGCAAATGTATCTGCTAGATACTTTTGCTGCCTAAGTAGCAAAACTTCTTCGTCAGCTATTGAATTTGAATTTGGATTTGTGGGTGGACCAGGCACACACTTAAGGGATGAGGAAGAGAGGTTAAGCTAGGTAGGGAGTGAGTGTATAAATAAAACACATGCATTCCACATGTACATATATGCGGAAAACAACAAACAGGGCGGCCAACAAAGTTATCTGCACACAAATGGCGAAAGCACAAATTCCACAGAGAAAGGGAGAATCGGGGAGCAGACCAGCGAAAGGAGACACAGATTGGGGAGACGCGAAAAAGCAAACTAAACCGCCGCCACTGGAGACCACTTTTCAACACTCAAATTGACACACAGGCAGGGACACGAGCAGCGGCAACGGGAACGGGCACGGACATGGAATCGTGTAAGGATGTAGACACATTCACGCAGAGGATGCACGGGCATTCAATTTTGTGTAATCACCAGGGGGAAGAACCGTCGAATCGGAGGACGTAATGGGCAGCAGGGAGAGGATTCTGAAAGCTGAGGCTGCCAACTGAAACCGGAGACTCCTAGCTCGCATCGAGATTCACATTTGTGGCGAATCTTTTCGCAAAACTCAAAACACTGAGATGCAAAGTCAACTCAATTTTAATCAGATTTGGTAATGAAGAGCATACAGAATTGGGAAATTATTAAAAAAAAATTATCTAAAGTTGGGAAATAGTTAAATTCACTATTGAAACTTTTGGCATATGATTTCATAACGTCAAAACATCTGTTTAAATGTGTTTAAAAGTTTACACAAATACTTTTTGCTATTTAGACTACAAGTATACGTTTTCATAGCATACTTTTTTGCGCCAATTAAAGGGAGTTTGAGCCTCAAGATATATTTTATTAGAATAGCTCTGTAAAGTCTTATATCCTGAAAACAAGTCAAAATTGTAGAGTTATTTAACCATTATTTTTCTCCCTGTAACTCCTGTTTATATTTAACCCCGTAAATTTTCCCTCAGTGAACACACCCACTTTTGTGCGAACATAGTCATGTTAACCCATGACGACCGACAACATGGCAATGTCGCCGTGCCTGTCGCTCTACTCGTTGACAAAAACCACAGACCAATGGAGTGGCTAAGGGGGAGGAAAAGTGCGGAGCTGGGGAAGTTGTGCAGATTGCGGCTCCATTGCCACGATTTCCCGTTTCCTTTCGGAAAACCCCTGCACCCAGCACCTTCATTTGCCTGCGTTTTGCCTAGTAATAATCAATTTGCAGTTACAGCAACCAAAATGTGTGTTACCAAATTAAACACAAATATTTTTCCTTTACCTTGTGACCTGACCAACTCGAACCAGAGTTTGTCGAGCCAATTAACCACTTGGTCCATAATCAACAAAGGACATGCATACTGGGGGTTTAGTTTGATTTATGTGTGACTTGGCAGCAAAAGAGAGTCCAGCCACCTTAGGCCTCAGTCTTGGCCAACCAATTTGCACAGTTCTGTAATTATTATTATTATTGGCTGTGGTGCTCCAGACCACCAGATGCTGCTGCCCTCCTTCTGTGCGTTTAGGAACCAAAGTTAATTGGGTTTTGATCGACCTGCAGCAAAGCCCTGAATAGTCAATGAAATTGATGCCTGGAGGGGGTGAGGGTGAGGGTTCTCAGGTGTAGTTAAATTGAGGGAGTGTTACAGATTTATGGGGGTTTGATCAATTAGTCAAGGTGTTTTGAATTTAATTGTATTTAAGATTCAATGGTATTTCTTAGTCTTCAAGAAGATATAATAGAGATTGATTTGTTGGAGATATATTTTAAAACTATCATAATGCAAGATTATTTTAAATATGTACAAAAATCTTAAATACAGGCAGCAGTAAAAGAGTCACAAGAGATTTAAAGACTAGAGAGCGTTTTGCAATATATATTTACTTATAAAAATTATCACCAGTTAATTAAACAACTTAATTGATATTCATTTGACTCCGGAGATCAAACAAAATTGTTATAATTTCGAATGTGAAAGATTTTGTTGTACAATTTCTACTACTTTAAGAATTTATAAAAAGTATTAAGATAATCATTTCTCAATCAAATTTGAGCCTTTTCTAACTTAAATACTGTATAGGATAACTTCTCCTATTTGCTAGCTTAAATTCAAACTATTTTATACATTTAAAACAACCACAATAATGTTTTCAAAATATAAACTTAATATACATCATTTGATTGTCATTTTTTGGACTCCGCTGAGAGCAATTATTGATGCATAGATTTCTATTGGCTATGTCCAGTTTATCCTTTGCCTATAACTTGGCTATCACACTTAAAGCCCGCCAAACATGATTTTGGTATGGAAAAATGTTCCTTTTTGGCCTGCATTTTTGTGTGGCGGACATTTGATTTATGGCTTGCGATTAAAAAGATGAATTGTGGCATTTTCGACAGCAAGAGGGGGGTCGGGTGTGGGAACTAACAGAGACACTCGACCACGCCCACACACCTACACCCTACACCCCATGCTGAGGTGTGGCACGTGCATCACGTAATGGCTCTGCGCGCAATCCTTTCTGGCTTATTTGACCCACATTTTGCATATGGCCAAGAATGCAGCTCCACCAAAGGGTCAACATCATCATGTCTGTCTGTAGCACCGCCTTCACCCAACTAACCTTCTACCCTTTGCTGTGGCCTTTAATATGTGGGGAAAAAGTTCCTGAGCTGGGCCAAATACTTGACGTATGGAGAAGATGCCGTTGGTGGGTTGAAAACAATTCGAGAATATTTATAAACAGCATACGAAAAATTCCTGCTTCGTTGAGCTAGAGAAATTCCTTTATAATTTGTTTTTATTAATATTTTTACTCACATAGAGGCCTCCATCTTCTGTTTCGTCGGCGTGTCCTTTTTAACGCAGGCCACTCACGTCTCACTTTTCTGGAGTGGAAAGTTCCTAATAATCCTTTAGTCTGGGACACGTATGAATATGAATGGTATGGAGGGGATGTTTAGGGAGGGGTCCTTTGGGAAGAATGGTAGAATCCTTTTCCTTTCGCTTACACTTAAGACCCGTTCATGCAGCAAATTGATTTAGGCATAAACAAGCCCCGAACGCTTTTAACCCTCTGGCTGTGCTCCTGCTCACAAGTGGCAAATAATTTCTGCTGCCTCAACTGACGCTCGGTCGGTCTCGTTTGAAAATTTCATCTTTTTGGGCGTTGAACCGCATGTGACCAGCCGGTGTCAGGATTGCATGGGATCCTGGATACTCCTGTTGAGCTTCCAGCATCCTGCATGCCACCAGCCTTGGTAACTGGTCCATTAAAGTCAACAAACTAACAACAACAGCTGACGGTTTTTGTGGGGTTTTCTGGTTTTAGGGTTCCAGTTTGAGTTTCGGGTCTTTTTTGGGTTTGAGTTTTGGGGTTCCAGGTTATCCTTTGTTTGTCCCCAAACGCCTGATGTTGCTTTTGTTGGGTTTGCTGAGTTTGCCTGTGCAAGCAAACAGCAAAGGTGAATCTCAGAGAGGGTGGGAGAGACTGTTGGGGCTCGGGTGAAAAACAAATTAAGCAGTTATTTGGGTTGTTAGACGCTTCAGCCAACTGGCCTTCGTTTTAGCCAACCGCCCACACAAACACACACACACACACACGCATCGTGTTACGCTTCTTGGTTGTTGTGTTTTTTGGGCTGACAATACCCTTTGAAATTAGTGAGTGAATGGGTTAATTCTTGGCTTCATCAAGTAAGTCATAAAAAGAAAAACTGGATAATTAAGTTGTTTGGTTTAGCTAAAACCGTAAGGGTTTTATTATCGGAGGGGTATATAATTAAGTTTGTTTAATTATGTTGTGGTTGGATTAGAAATGAAGTAAAATAATTAATAGGAAATATTATTTATTGGGAATGCGGTTTATATTGATTATATTTGGATTCCCTTGAAGATTGAAATTCAATCAATAGGATTTAATATAAGAACAATTATATATATTTATATAAAAAAAAAGTAATGTCTGCTTTCAATTCATTCACCATTCATTCATTTTTGAATTATTCTCTATTTTTAACAATCGTTTGTATGGCAGCTATGTATATGATATAGTAGTCAGATTTTCATAAAATTCTAGATTAATATGTAATGGCTATATATCAAGTTTGATGAAAATCTGTTGATAACTGGAAAAGTTATAATTTATTTTCTTAAAATTTTCCGACCGTTCCTATGGCAGCTTTATATATGTATATATAAAGTCCACCGATTCGCCATGCTCCGATTTATATACTAGTAAAATTATATAAAAGATTAACTCCATAGTTTCATTCAAATAGCTTGCTCTTTGTTTAAAAACACATTTCGCACATGTGTGCATATAATTCCCAACTGGTTCTAACATCCCCGGAATGAAGCGACTTCTGCTGGCCAAGCCTTAGAAATGTGTTGTGTTACAAAAGTTGCAAGTCATTGTTTATTAGTGTTCAAAGTTAGTAGCTGATCATACATACCTACTGGTCATAGATACTTACTTATCATATTTACTTACTTACTGCTCATAGTTATTTATTGATCATAGTTAATTACGGATCATAGTTTTTCACTGATCATAGTTAGTTTCTGCACTGTACCAGTTTTACCTACAGTGAAGAAGCTGGTTTTCTTTTAAATAAAATAGTAAAACAAAACTTTAGGAACTTAAATCTTAAAATCCCTAACCACGAATCATAGAATATTCCACCAAGACATTTCTATATTCGAAAACAAAATCATATCCTTTGGCAATATTTCGGACTTCCCCCCGCTTGTCGCAACCCTTTTTCAAACTTTGTCAATTATATTAATTAATAAATCAAAAATCGAACCCAGAACATAAGAACCGCAACGAAAGTTTGCCACATCCCTTTGGAAGCGAACTAAGTGCGTAGGCTCTCGAATGTGTCCATGTGCCGCCTGTACGTCTGAGGAAGGATGAGTGGAAATCGTATAACGCTGATCCCAGGATTTGCATAATTTTATTGTGTGTTGAACTTTCGACTAACCCATCCGGTGGCAGCCCAATCTGTGCCAGGCCATGCCATGCCGCCAGGCCACAGGCTCCCCGCAAAAAGGTCACTCAAAGTCCACTTACCAAACTTACTGTCACACACACACACAGTTGAGCCAAAATCTTCGGCCTAAGCCCCAAAAGTCCTCCTCTGTGTGTCTGTGTGTGTGCGTTTGTATTTTTTGGTCGAATGGATGTGACCGATAAGCGTGTGCCCATGCACTTAAGTTGCACAGGGCAACACAGGAGAGAGGCGACAGGAAGCTGGCAAAAAGTTCGGAAAATGGTCACAGAGAAAATTCACAGAACAACAAAATAAACCACAATAAGCCGAGAGCTTGGGTTAAACTAGAGATGCTGCTCTGCATACGAGTGTGCACAGGGGGAAAAATGTGGAAAATGTGGCCAATAATGGATGGATAATTTTTTTTGCTTCTAATGGCTGCTTATTACTAATCTTAATCTTACAATGATATATTTATGGGCTTGGTCACACTATTTGGGTTATTTAAAACTGTGTGACCAGCTTAATTTATACTCTTCGTAATCTTAAAAAGTTTTTAATAATCTTAACACAAAGCAAATTAAAAGTAGAATTACAAAATACTATTGATATTATGTGGTTTCATATTTAGAAAATCATTTTATTGTCTTAATTAGATAACAAACTCAAAAACATTACTTTGTTGACATATTTTCCCTCTGTAATCTCTCAACCTCCTTTTGTTTATTGTCTTTTATTTATGTTTTTGGGCGGCAGCAGCAGCTGCGGCTTTGGTTTTCCGTGCAACAAAATATGTTGCATACTCGCAGGCAGCTGCCGAGTAAAAAAAAGACCTGCAGCTCTTCTGGTCTCTTGCCTTTGTCTCGTCGAGATTTGCATTTCAAAGCACCGGCCACGCCCACTCACCTGGTTAAGAAGGAGGGCGTGTAGGGGGGTGGGTTGGGCGCGACAGGAGTCTCAGGTAGCATCAGCAGCTAAAAGTGGAGGAGGAAAAACAACTTATTACTTTGACTAATCCTATTATGCGCATGCAAACGTGCGCCAGGGAGAAGCAAGAAACTTTTTCCCAGGCACAAACTACTTTGAAGTCAACTGTCTGCCTGCCTACACACAGGACTGGGTCCCAGGTCCTTGGCCCGCCCACATTTCCCCAAGATGTCGCAGGCGCCCACACCTTTGCTTCCCACTTTCTGCGCATTCATTCCATTGAATCGTGCACTCACTCAGGCGCCGCTAAGTTGCCTTAGTGGCCGCTCATGCACTGCAAGAAATGGCTGAGCAATAGATAACGCTATTTGTGCCATTGAAAGGATCTTGCCACTCTCCTTGGTGTCCTTGCTGATGTTAATTCCTTTGGAGTTAGTTTCAAGGTGCAGAGATGGCACAGTGAAAGTGGAAGGCTTTAAAGTGCAGGAAGTTTAAATGGTTTTACTAGATAGTTAAATACCTAATTTATTATGGTATTAAAAGTATCTAAAGATATAAATAATATTTTCTGAACATGATATTTTTGTTTATTATTAACACTTGCATAATTATCTTTTAATTTATTACCAATTCAAATACCAAATGAAATACCAACATTTTAATTGCTGAAACCGCTTTTGGCCTGTATGTATGTATTTGTGCCATTAAAAACTTGAGCTTCAGTTTGCTCGACCTTTCCCCCGGTTGATCCAACCTAATTTATTTTCAAGTTGTAAAGTTGCAAAACTTTTTCGTTGACCTCATTCGGTTTTAGCCCATAGTTTTTCACTCCTGTCAACCCCCCTCGACTCGTTGTAGTTAATTTCTTCCACTTACCTGTCCATTATGGCCCGGACCTGGACCCGAGGAGTCCAGAGATAGTGGAAAATGCCACGACAGCATCTCAAGAACTTTTCTACGCGCAAATCCCTTCGCCTAAGCTGATTTGGCTTCCTCGAAAACCAACAAAAATTCAGCTGGCGGCCAAGTTTTCTTCATTAATTGATTTTCTCGCATTTTCTTTCAACGTATATATATTTTTTATTTTATTTTTACCAAAATGCATGTTCTTCTTACAAAGACAATCATAGATTACAGGAAGTGTAAAGTAACAAAAATTACTTAAGAAATACGCGTAGAGTCACGAAGGCCACTTAAACATTAAACATTAGATCAATGTTTGGACATAAATAATTCATAAATTTGATTCCAGTTTGAACGTTTTTAACAAAATAAGGATACAGCAGAAGGCAAGTTCGCAATGCCTCTTTGATACAAAAATAGATTTACAGAAAGTTTACTTTGTATATAAATCAGAAATTGTAACGTGACCAGCTCTATAGTTTTCATTTCAACAAATTTTCTTTGTTTTTTATTGTAGCAAAATGCATATTCTCTTCACAAGAACAATCATAAATTACAGAGAGTGTAAAGTTAAGTGAAAAAATCTTACTTAAGCATAGGAAACGCGTAGAGCAAAAGAGACATGAAATCACTAAGGGCACTTAAACATGTAACATTAAGAGTTGAACCAAGTTTTGGGTGTTGTACATAATTCATAATTCACAATTGTTTTGATATGTGATCCATCAGATATCAGCTATCATTTGCGGGGCGTGAATGTGCTGCTCGGAGCCTGTGAGTCTTGTGAGTCTCTGCGGTGAGTGAGGTGAGGTTGTTGGCGGTGGTGGTGACTTGGTGACTTAAAGAGGCGTCTCCCAATTCAATCCCATCCAATCCAATCCGATTCGAGTTACGAGTCCCCGCTGGATCTAGAAGAGCAGGGAGAAGAGACTCCTCACGCCAGTGGAGCCAGCTCCGGAACCGAGGGTAAAACCGGTGCTAGGCGTGCCGCTGCTGCGATGCCTTGAGACGTGGCTGGAAACGTTAGCACGGACACGGTCGTAGCTGGCAACATCCTGGAATAAAAAAATATTTCAATTAGACTCAAGGGAAGACTAGAATTGGGGAAATAGCGTACTGGTCGAGCACGAACTCGAGGTGTCTGCAGTGGCGGCAGATGTCGCAAGTGCCGCACGTGTTGTATATGGACAAGACTCTCACCTCTTTGTCGGCATTGGCCAGCACCGATCGCATCGAGTTGGCCACCGGCCACTTCTTCTTCATCACCAGGTTATTTGGCGGATCGTGGGCAGTGCCGGCATCCACAGACCAAATGGTCACGCTGGCACCTCCCAGAACCTTTGATCCGCGCGAGAACTTGAAGGCCAGCTCCTCATCGCCAGCAATGCGAGTCAACTGCCAGCCAGTGAGATTGATCTCCTCGGTGCCCTTGTTGTGCAGCTTAATGAAGCGTCCCTCAACATCTGCCTCGATGATCTCCAGATCTCCCTTGGCTGCCGCATTCACTGAGTACTCCGACACACTGCGATCCTCGCTCTCATCGATCACGGTGCGACGACGCTTTACGGCACTCGATCCGGAAATACCAGGCGTAGCCGAACGACGTCCACTGGGTGTAACCCGTCCAGATCGGGAGCTGGTGCTAGCATGCAAGTGTGTGCCATTGGAGGAGATACCCGAATCGTTACCAGGACGTCCGGGAGACTCAATGTTCAGGCGACGCTCCTCACCGCACAGAAGCTTGTCGTAGGCAGCAATCTCGAGATCCAGGGACACCTTGATGTCCATCAAATCGCGGTACTCCTGCAGCTGCTGGGCCATGTCGTCGCGCATGCGTTGTAGCTCGGCCTCCAGGGAGGCAATGTACTGGTTGTGGCGCTGGCGCTCAGTGTCCAAAAGGTTCTCCAGCTCCCTGATGCGGGCCTTTAAGAAATATATTATATAAAAAGATTAGAATTGAGTTTGATAGTTAATAATCCCACTTACATTCAAGCCAGCATTGGTGTTCTCCAGTTCTTGCAGCTTGCCATTAAGGCTATCGATCTTGGTGCGCATAAGACGAACTTCCTCGGTGGCATGAGCAGATCCCTGGGCAGCCCTGTTGGCGGCAGCCTTGAGGTTCTGAATCTCCTGGTCGTAGAGCAGTTCGACTTCCTCACGATTGGCGCGCATCTGTGCCTCGTACTGATCACGCAGTTCCTGGAGCGATTGCTGCAGTTTGGCCTCATACTGACGCGACAGCCGGCCATCGATCTCACTGATCTCGATCTGGCGACGAGAGCGAGTCTCGGTGAGCTCCTGGGTGTGAACCTGATCCTTGAAGGCCAGCTCCTCGCGCAGACTCTGGTTCTGGTTCTCCAGATCGACGCGGGCCAATGTCTCGGCCTCCAATTGCTTGCGAAGATCATCCAGCTGGCGACGCAGACGTTCGTTCTCCAAGGCCAGTTCCTTGGCCTGATCCTCGAACTTCTTGCGATCGGCCAGAGCCTGATTGTATTTGCCATTGACCTCCGAATAACGAGATTCATAAAGGCGGGCATTATTCTCAGCCACGGCAGCCTCCTTGGTCTTCTTATCGAGTCTGAAATTGGGGGGAAAATTATGGAAATTAATAGATAAACTTTGGCTAAAATACTTCCAGGAAGTAGGAGATATAAAAAGATATTTTAAAACTATAGATTGTTCAAGGGTTTTAAGAATTAATTGTTGTTTTATTCTACCCAAAAGAACACTTGGGAATTATAGGAAATAGAATAAAGAAAAGTACAGTCTCCGTTGTTGAGACTATATTTGTTATTTCCCTTTGAAGACTGTAACCAATTTGGTCTTTCCGAGATCTACTTATATAGTGACTAACTAACAAATAAATCAACCCGTTAAGATGACGTTTTTTTCCGCCCAGTGCAATGCCTTTTATCTACATGTGCTCCCATAGATGACGTCACTTGTCTATATCATTTTTTGCCTCAACTGAGTCACATTTTTAGCTGAGACCGCTCTCATTCTCTTTTTATCTCACAAAATGTATTATTCATATTATTTATTTAAATTTCGCTCCGTCGCTTAGAAGAACTCGTTCAACGATCCTCCAAATCAAATATTTAAACATTTCGATATTTTGTTTGCCTTGAAATAAAGCGTCACATGCCATTAGCATAAAGTAGCCCAGCTATTTCTGACCACCTCCCCTTGATTTATGGCCGCCTACCAGTTCAAAGCAGCAATCTCATTTTTTGTTATTTTTTATATTCTATACATATATATGCCTGAGTTGTTTAAAAAATAACTATGAAAATGCCACAAATAATCCGAGAATATTCGCTCAAATCAATTTGATGTCTCGCGTGGTCTTGCACGTTTTAAATATAATTTTTCTATATTTAGTAGCAACAAAAGCCATGATTTTTCATAAGGCATAATTGGCTTTTCATGCTTTGACTTTGAATTAAACGTTTATTTAAATTGTGGTTATAGTTTACTGCCTTTTAGGGAATAAATCCAAATGCTTTTGCCTTGTGTATTTTCTATAGAGTCTGGACCTCACAGCGGTTTTCTTTGCTGCACCCAGTAGTAGTGAATGTAAACATTTTTCCGAGGCTAATCAAGAAAAGTTGTGTAAAAATGGGGGAAAATAAAGGCGAAAAACGAAAACGGATTCAAGGTTGTTGTTTTGTGTTCTAGTTTTTCCCTTACTTTTTCCCCAAATTTCGTGAGCGTGTTGAAGCGCTATTTCTTTATTCCCTTCCCCCCTTGAATTCCTTCCGCTGACCCAATTTATTTATGTGTGTATATGTTTCTTTTTGTCAACATGTTGGAATTTCTAAAAAGTGTTTTCGAGGAATGTTGGAATAACTTATGGGAAAACTAAATGCAGTAAACAATGGGGAAAATTTCAGGAGGAATTCATATTTAGTTTAGATTTGAATTAAATCTTTAAAATCCCTCAAATATGCTATCTTATCAAATCTTAATCTTCACGGTTTCTAATATCAAATTTCCTTTGTGATTTCAACACTTTTGACACACCTCAAAAGAAACTGAAAATTCCAGTTTAACCAACATTTAAACACCATCTTTCAGCCATTAACCCCTCTTAACTTCATTATCATCGGGCCAACAAAAAATACAAACAAAAAACCCTGTGGCTATTATGAGCTTTCGGCCATTAATACCTACCAAAAATAAATATTGCCTGATAACGCAAACGATGCGAAACGCTATGGAAATCTTGAAAATGGAAAAACTACACCCGATTTTGTTGTGTTGACATCAGACATCAGAAACCAGAAACTGGTATTACATATGGGATCTGTAACTGCGTGCCATGACATCATAGTCTTGTAACCTTCATTGAGACTTAAGGCGCTATTTCGGTTCGGTTACGGTTGGATTTTGGTTGGGTTTGACTGCTCATTAACTACATGGAACTTGGTATTTGGCATTAGCATAAAAATGTCGAGGAGACTTCTGGAAGTGTAAATGCAAAAAATAAACAAGAGCGTTGAGAGAGCCAAGAGAACCCAGACAGAGAGAGAGAGAGAGAGAGAGGGTTGCCATGTGCGTGGTGGCTTTCGAAATGTGCTTTTTGGCATGACATCACCGGCCTCGCTCAGGCTTTTGCCAACTTGCTCTGCTTCTCCGGCACTCTCTCTATCTTTCTCTGACTATGTTACACTTGTAAAAATAATTGAGCAACAAAATATTAAATTGGTATCAATTTAAACATGCCTTTTCTAAATTGGTTCGAATTTAGTCACATGTTTATCACTTTATCAAAGAGCTTTTTAATAGAAAGCAACTTCTGTGATCTGTTTATTTGAGGAGTTTTCCAATACTAGACATTTTTCAATTCTAAAAGAAAGCGAAACTGTACGTATTTTCAAATTGAAAGGTATTTTTTTGTACCTCTTAACCTTTATCATGAGTTTCTAGTGAAAATTTTAAGGACTCTAAATCTGAAATATTTCCTATACATGATAAACCATCTGCTATAAATTCCCAATATGTAATGTACCATAATATCCCTCTCGTTTCTCTCAGTGCACGCTTTCTGCGGTTAGCATGCCTGTCTATGACATCACTGGCTGATAATAATACGCTGTTACCATTCACACATATTTCCATTCCCATTGCCAAGTCTTTCTTTGGCTCCCAAGCTTTACCTCGGCTTCAGGTCGTCATTCTCCTCCCACAACCGCTTAATATCGATCTCCAGCTTGGCCTTCTCCTTGGCCGTCTCATCGAGCAGCTTGCGGGCGGCGGCCAGCTCCTTCTCGTAGACAGCCTTCAGATTGGAGGTCTCCCTGTTGACCGTATCCTGGGCGAGATGCAGCTCCTGGGTGAGTCGGCTGTTCTCATTCTCCAGGTTGCGCATGCGGTCAATGTAGCAGGCAAGACGATCGTTCAGATGCTGCAGCTCCTCCTTCTCCTGCAGCCGAGTGGTCCGGGTGGGGGATGTGGGCGAGGTGGCGCCCACCCGCGATGAGGTGGAGGCGCCACCCACCGGCGTCGAGGTGGAGGCCCGCGAGACGCGTGTGTTCAATGTGACGCGACGAGCAGACATTTTTTGCGTTATTTATTTATTTACGATGGTTGTGCGGTTTAAGTACGTAATCCCTGATATCTCTTCGAATTGCGAGTGCTTTTCCGGCTCTGGAGCTATGTATTTAATTCCTTTTTGTGCGTCCGCTTGGTTTGACGGCTGAAAATTGACTGAAACAGTGAGACTTTGCCTCGAACCGAGCCAGCGAGCGAGCGGCCATCATCGACGAAATTAGTAGTCGCCGCCGCTGCCGCTGACGTCGTCGGCAGAGGCGGTCATAAAAAATACTCTAAAAACAACACACAAACACACACACAGACACACACTCTCCGCCACTCTCTCTGTGTATTTTTTTCCGCTCTCACCTTTTGGCTTTATTATTATTGTTGTTTCGAAGTCTCTTTTCCATTCGTATTCGTATTAGTCGGAGACTCCCCTATGTACAGCTGTTTGTGTTTCTGGAGCTCCAAATAGAAATCATCTCAAAGGCAACAAAGGCAACCAAAATTAATGCCGTTTTGCCGGTTCCCCAAAAAAAAAAAAAACTCTTTTTTTCACAGGTGAAACTGTCTATGAAGAATATTGGGAGCCAGAGGAAACAAGATTATACATTAAAGTATGAGAACTTTATGTTCTTGTCATATAATATTTTACAAAAAATAAAGTCTTTGAGGTAAAATTTCTATTAGAATTTTCTAGCCTACTGTAGAAATGACTATATTAAACTAACAAAATTAAAACCTCCCAATGATTTCTAGGTCAGAAATTCAATTTACAAACATTGTTGTAATCAAAAACCCATCATTATATATCATTATAAATTTAGAGCATTATATATCCATTTTTTTAGATCGGTTTGAATACTCAATACTTAAATAACCGATTAACTTTAAAATCTTGATTTAGAAATCCTAATTATCTTCAGTAAGGTAAGGTGGGATCAGTATATGTGTAAGTTCCACTGTATCTCCATTAGGAATTCCTTGCAATGCATTCCTAATCATCAATGAGTTCTTCAGTGCTTTGGTCCAAGGTTAATGAACGGCAATTGCTATAAAATCAGAGATGGGTACCGCAAAGGGAAAGGAAATGGTGTAAATTTGAACATATGGATTGCAGCATTGCGTGAAAAATAAAACTACAAGTGTACAGGAATGAAAACTAATTTCGGGAAGCAGAACTTTATATACCCTTGCAGTTTGCAATTGAATTTTGGGATAATACTAGATATTTTTATAAAACAATTTTTTTTAGGCATATCAAAGTTTTGAAAACTTCATAACCAAGCCAAAATGGCATTTATTTTCATTCGGAAAGCTCTTCTATGTTAGTTTTGATTAGGTTGATTAATCTGCATACTCAATTTGAATTTGAATGAATTTTTCAAATTTTTGAGATTTTAACGATATAACCCCTTATAATATTTTGAAAAACTTGATTAATTTTGTTTTTATGCGGGAGATGGCTAGTTCGATTCGGCTTTTGATGCTGATCAAGAATATATATGATTTATAGGGTCAGAAATGACTGCATTACAAAGCTACAAGCTTCTGACTAAAATTATAATACCCTGCAAAGGGTATAAAAATGTAACACATTGAGTGAATATAGCGTGGAATAAAAAGATTACCAATGAAACATGTGGAAAATATTGGAGTGGGATTGCACAAAAATATGAAATTTATGAGCTTTAGGAGGTATTTATTATTAAGTAAATGCTTTGGAGTTTAGAAATAAACAACAACTGAACATATATATTTTGGAATTTTAATTTTTAAGATATTATACATTCAATATATGCTTGACATTCAAACTAGCTGCAGTTTATGTTATATACACACACATACACATATCCCCAATTCATAATCCTTCGTCTCTTCATAAATTTTATGATTTGTTAGACTTTGTCTGGCCACATAAATTAATGGGGCCCTTAATAGTGATTGCGACACATGAAAATCGACCACAATGGATGCCCGCCCACATCATCAATTCCGTTCGATTCAGTTACTTAGTTTTGGGACCACATCCCCAGCTCTCTCCCACACTCTCTCTCTCTCCCTCTCTATTCTCCCCATTTGCATAGTTCTCTTGTCAGTTTATCGATCAGCCGGCGAGCGGGTCAATTATGGGCCCAACAACTTGTCCAAAATTATGAAATACTGCATGGGAGGGCTATGGGAAAATCGGTGGTGGGTGGGTGAGAGGAAAACTTGGTTTGGCTTGGCGCAATGTCAAAACTTGTCATAAGTGAAATATTTATTGACATGGAATGCTTTGGGAGTGCTTTGAGAGCCAGTCATAATAATAAATAACCAGTTAAAAAAAGCGGGATAAGGCGACATTCTCTTCTGCCAAGCTTTCTTTTCCATTTTTTTTTCTAGATAACAAAATTTCTCAGCTCTCTCTCTCTCTCTCTCTCTTCTAACAAAATGCAAATAGCCGGCAAACAATTCTTGTTTTTGTTTTATTTTGCCCTCGAGAATGGGAAAAAGCTTTGAGCTCTCACGCAGCGGGAAGAAATATGTGAACTTGTCAGGCAATCTATATGACGCCCGTGACGTCACCATTTGAAATAACAAAAACACACAAAAGAAAATCAAGCAAATAAAACCAGAATTTTGTATACAAGTAAATGTCGAGGTATATCAGTATACACAGCACTGACCTCCAAAAAACGTGGAGGCTTCTCTGTGACGTCACCGAATTATTTTTAAATTGTGAACGACGTGAACGTTTCTTTTGACTTTCGGAATTATAATTATCATTATGAGCCGTACGCGTCAGCTAATTAGACTTAATTAACATTCTCAATTGTATGCTCAAAGTAAGCATTTAAGCCTAACCAGATGTCAAATTGGTATTTCTTCTTTTTTTGTTTATTTATTTGTTATTCAAACCTTGTTTGGCTTGAATCTTATTTGGGCTTTTTGCTTGTTAGGGAAGTTCTCTGTAATCTAGGCTCTGTTTTTTGAGATTATCTCAATTTGTCAGTTGATGAATTGTGTTTTGGGATTAAGATTACAAATTGATAAGAATTATTCCAGTGGCTGGGCAGGAAATTAGCTTTATGAAATGTATACTTGAAATAGTAGGGAAAAGTACTATCAATTGAATGAGCAATTTTAAATTTAAATTTAAAGAATTTATTTCATGGATTTTCATTTTTAAAGTACTGGAATTAAGTCAATTTTCTTGGAAATTCTTTTATAAATAAGTTGTCCTTTATATTTGTTATTAATAAATTTCCCTTCAGCAGTTCTTTTAAAGTCTCTTTGTTTCATATATTTCTTAACACATTTTTGTACCTCTTTGGAATGACATAATTATGTTAAGATATTCCACCCTAAAGGCACTTTAACTTAACAATTTTCTGTTCTCCCAATTCGCTTATCATTTCTATAGGGGGGAAGAAGCTTTATATTTTCCCATTTTCATATACAATAAGTATCGATTAACCTTAAATAAAGAACGACGACGAGGACGACAAATAAATAAACACACTTGCCCGCAGGGCTCTTAATTTGAGCAAACTTTCCGAACCAATATTTGTATTGTATTTATTTGCTCTTTGTTACATTTACGTTTTTTTCTTTTTGTTTTTTGTTTTTGTATGTATATCTATATAGATATTGACCTGGCCGTGCCTATCGTGAAATAAAACATACAGCAGAGATACTGTATAAACTGAAATCAAACAAAATTGAAGTTAGCTACTTGTTGTATTTTTATTTTTTTGCGCTTCCCGTCAAAACTTGTTTGTCTGTTGAATTTTTTTATGTTTGCTTTTGTTGTTTTTGATTTTGTTATTTTGTTGTTGTTTTTACGAATTTGTCAAAGCAGCTTCATAACTTCAGTCGCTTGCTGCTGTTGTTGTTTTTTGGTTATTTTGCGTTGTACGCGACAGCTCCGAAGTTTGCCAACAGTAATGACATCATCGTCAGCTTAAAGTTTGAAGTCATGGCAAATGACGTTATAAGATGAATGGAACCAACAGCCAAAACAGCAAAAAAAAGAGCCAAGAGCCGAAAGCCAAACGCCTGGCGATTAAGCTGAAGAGGTGCTGAAGGAAAGATTGAAAAATTAAGCATAATTGGAAGAAGAGCTTTAAAACGTTGCAGTTGTAAATAATATGTTCTTGCTTTAAAAGAGTTTATCTTTAAGATATCAGTGTGTAAATTACGTTGTCTAAGTAGATATTTGTGTTAAATTAAGTCTTTAAGTTAAGTAATTTACTATAATGTCCTATACAAGGAGCTGGGTTACAGTATAGTATAGTTTCATTTCTGCCAATGGCTCTAATCAGTCTCCCTTTGCTAAGGATCATTCTTTAACTTGACATAAATTATTTTTTTATATATTTTAAATAAGAAATATAAAGTACTCTCATTAAAAAGTACTTTAGAAATTTGTTCTAGACAGTATCAGAAATATTCTTTAAAATTTTATATCTCCCACAGCCAACATTTAAGAGTTTTAACTTGCAAATCTCATCAAAAAATCATTGAAAATGTATATCTCGCTAAGCCTAAAAACAAAGCCAAAGAGTTGCGGATTTCACACAAATTCACACATCATCGGATATATAAATGTATACAAAATATATATATATGCCTAGAATAATATCCCCTTCTCCTCCCCCTATCCAGTGTCACACTTAATTAACATTGGTCAACAAGTTTAGATCGATAAATTTGTGCAAAAACACGTCTGAAACTCGCTGAATGAAAGGAATTAAAAAAATGTATACATATAGAATCCCATATAAAATGTATTCAGTTCGGAATTGGTTTAGCAATTTGTTGCTGTTTTTGTTTAATTGTCATAAGCCAAAAACCGCAGAGAGTAAAATTGTTTGCGTTTAGCTGAACGTGCTTCTGTTTTTTAAATATTTTCACCAGCCAATGGGGAATATCTACATACATACATGCACAAACATCTATTTTTATTATTTTTAAACACATTTTGTTGTTTTGAGAGTTTTATGTTTGCTTTATAATTGAGTCCGGGGATTTGTAGTTTGTATATGGAAATCAGGGAACGATAACTTTTGCTCCCTCCCCTCGCACTTATACTTATTTAATTTTTGCTGCATTTATCTTCAGGCACTTGTTAATTTTTAAGCAACAATTTTACTTCCGCTGCAGCTTCATGTCACTTTTAGCTACTTGCATAAGTTAATTTAGTGTTTGTCTTTGACGGAGTTCATCTTGTTCTTTATGTTTTTCTTATTTTTCTTGTTTTCTTTATTTTTTTGTTGAACTTTTTTAATGCAGGAGCGCAGAACATTTGAGTACTTTTTTTTTTGGTGTCACTGAGTGCAAGTTTTGGCCTGGCCAACGGAGTACATTTTATGTATGCAGCTGCCTTTGCACAGCTTTCAACTTTTAACCCGCTTGCCACGCCCACCCATATACATATATGTATATATGTTTCTGTATACAAATGCAGGAAGTTTCTGGCCCCACGAAGTATGCTAGTAGAAATAGCTGGGAAGAAGCAAGAAAAAAAATAAAAGGAAACCGACATCTTCTTATTACGCCGAAGAACCGGAAACGAAAACTTTCGCCATGGCGGCATCACCAAACAGAATTCAATTTATAAACATGTAGAAAAGTGTGTGTCTGCCTGATGAAAACTGATTAGTAAGAAGAAACCTTCTTAGTTCATTTGAAGATAAAACAAATTCGTAAAGGAATTTGCTTCTTGAAACGAACTAACCTTTAAAATAAAAATATTACACAAATAAAGCACATATTTTCTTTAGTCCAAATACCATTCATAAGCCTTTATCATTTATCAAAGAAGCAAAAATCTTTTCTACTATTAATTTACATGTAGTTTTCATTCCTTTAATCTTATGTCTTCCTTTGCCACAAACTTCGTTTGCGAGAAAGCCCTTTTCCAAGGGCTTCCAATTAAAATTCCATTAATAGCAAGCTAACAGAAAGTAAAAGAAGCCCATACCAGATCAAGAAAATAAACAGGCAAAGCTGCGGCCAAAAAGGAATCCTGACTTGCATTTGGGGCCAAAAGGCAGCACTCTGGCTTCCTGTGCATTGGCTTGCAATTAATTTAAGCAAATTTGTGCCTGCATGCAGACATACTTGCACATATGTATGTATGTACATATATTCCAAGCACATATATTTGTATATGGGCGTAAGTTAACTTTTAGGCAAAACTCTTAATGGAATTCCAGTCAAGTCGGTTCGGCTCGGGTTGTGTGTGTTGGCAGTGGGTGATGGCAGGCCAAACAAACTTTAAATTCCGGCTTTAAGGCCTGCATACACACCTGTTTAATTTGCCTACATTATCCAGTCTATTGGCTTGTGAGTCTTGTGAGCCTCCGGGAGCAAGCTGCTGCAGTAGCTTCACATCCTTCAGTGCCGGCAACTTAATCATCGCTTGAACACACATACTCTACATGAGATGCTGATACTGATGCGAACAGGAAATGAAGTTTTGGTTGACTTCCTTTTCCTCCTTGAGGCCCTTAAGTAGTGCCTTAAGCGATTGTTGCGCGCTGCTCTTGGTCCTGCGATAAGTCCTCTGCTGGCTGCCATCCAAATTCCGCCAACAAGCAGCAGTGATGGAAATGATAGAAAAGAAAACCCAGCAGCTGAATGGGAAAACTCCCGCCTGACATGTGTAGCCAAGCAACTGGGGAAAGTACAGTGGTTACAGCCTAAATCATATGAAATACGATGGAATTTAGGGGGTTACAAAGTTCCCTTGCCAACCAATCCTCACTGTCCTTTTATGCTTCTGCTGTTTGAAACAACTCAAAAATTCTCCCTGTGCAACATGGATTTAAGCCAATTAAATGCACTTTGTTGGCCAATTAAAATGTGGACAAGAGCGGCGGTTCCCGTCTGGGTTCAGGCCTAAACACACACAAACCGGAGTGCTAGAGTTGTGGTATGTGCATAATTGAATCGTACATTTGTCCCCTGCTAGCTCTAGCCTCTCGCTCTCAATTATCCTGGCAGCGCCAACAGCGGGGGATTGACTTAATTATGTCGCAGGCCAACACAAAAACACACGCAGATCCTCAACCCTCACCCTCATCATCATTATCATACACTGGGCCAAAATGGGGATGAGCTAAAGCAAACACGCTTTCCGCGTTAGTTGAGCGTTGATTATGCAAAAAGGAGCAAAGGGGAGGGGAAGGAGATTATAATTACAAAATATATAAAGCAGGCACTCGAGACACGTTGCCAGCCAGACAAGAAGCTCCAAGGATACCAGGATCGGCAGGCAGGCAGTTCGCAGCAAAATCCTAGTTTCGTTAGTTTCTTCCTGGCACCTGCAGCTAGCAGCTTAACGAGTTAAGGGTTACGAGGAGCTGGAGATGGAGATGTGTGGGTTAAAGGGTGCGGAAACATGATGAAAGTAAACAAAAATATGGCAGAAAAATAAAAGTTACAAATCGCCAAACGAAGTTGCAATGCCCTGGCTCAAGCTGCAGCTTATGAATATTGATTGTAGCTAACAAGGATGCCAGAAGGAATAAGAATTTAGTTAGTTTTAAGCTGACATTGAGATATATAATGAAGGATATATGTAATGTATTAGCTCTTTGCAAAAGTCTCCCTTAGATTAATTTATTTATTTCCCTGGTTTATAAAGAGAAAGATAGTATTAAGTTTTAAAGCATTAATTGAGTTAATAGTTGTTGCGGTAACTTTCCCCCATCAAAGTCCGAGCAACTGTCGATCCATAACCTGTAATTGTGAACCATTGTGGGTAGTTCCTTCCCCCCAGGCGTTTCATTATGTCTTTAGCACGAATTGTGAAGGAAATTCCCTGTGGGAGATGATCATCGTGCCCGCATTCAAATTCAACTAACCACACGCACAAAAGCAGGGCGTGCCAGACAGAAATAACACGAATGAACAGAGGCGACCGACGGCCAGGTTAGGGTCCTGGGATGGGGTTTTGAGGGAGCAGCAGCAGATGGTTGTCCCAGTGGCTCGGTGCCACTTGCATAACACGCTTCGTCCTCCATCTTCTGTTTTTGTGCCTTCTGTCAGGTGCACGTGGCTGCACCTGTACTTGCATAACTCAGCGCGAATGCCCCGCCACCCTCACACTTGGCAGGTCGCCACTAAGCTCTTAGTTGGGGTCAGGCTTTGCAATTATAATTGCATTCAGTTCAAATTCAAGCCCAGACTCTCTCTCTTAGTCAAAACAGTGCCAAATGGTAAATGGAAAATGGTATAAGGACGAAGAGCGCGGTTGGGATGTCTAACTAATTTGGCATGGCATACTTTAAGGCGCCCCCTCCGCACACCGCCAACACTTTGAGCGACAAATTAACGTCGCGTTAATGACACGCGATGTTTGCAGCAAGCCTCCTCCCGCCTTCACCCTTCCTCTTTCTGCCTTTGTCTAACACTTAGTTAGGAGGGGCGCATTAGGGTCGAGGGAGGCTCGAGCAGAGGCACTTCCGCATCCGCTCTGCGCAGCGGAAACTGCGGTAACGCCTCGCTCTATGCATGTATGCATGATTATGCCCATATACTCGAATACATTTGGGGTTAGATTAATAGAAACTCAAATGGGTTTTGTAATAACACCTTTAGTAAGCCTAATGTTCACTTATCTCTGGTTTTGTTCTATGATTACCAATTGATTATAGCAGCAGCATACATTACAAAAAATATATAGTTGCTATATATTTGATGAAAATCTGTTGAAAACTAAAAAAGTTATAAGATTTTTCTTAAAATGTTCCGATCGTTCCTATGACAGCTGTATATATGTGTATATATAGTCCACCGATTCGCCATGTTCCTACTTATGTACTAGTAAAATTATATAGAAGAATAACTCCATAGTTTTATTCAATTGCTTCTAAATTTGATCCAAAATAAATGTCGCACATGTGTCCATATGATTCCCAACTGGTTCTAACATCCCCGGAACGAAGTGACTTCTGCTGGCCAAGTCTCAGAAAAGTGTTGTGTTACAAAAGTTGCAAGTCATTGTTTCTTAGTGTTCAATGTTAGTGACTGATCATACATACTTACTGGTCATAGATACTTACTTATCATATTTACTTACTGGTTACAGATACTTACTGCTCACAGTTCATTACTGGTCATAAATACTTACTGTTCAGAGTTCCATACTGCTCATAGTTAATTACTGATCATAGTTATTTACTGGTAATATTAACTTACTGTTAAAAGATACTTACTGATCCTTTACATTTAACAACCGTTTCTTTGGCAGTTATATTATAAAGTGTTCCGATTTTCATAAAACTAAAAACGAAATTCTATAATAATAAAAGATAGTAACCGGCTTTTGACTCAACTTATAGTACCATGCAAGGGTACTTATTTATTTATCATAAAAATAAGCATTAAACAAGTCATAGGACTAATTTATATAATTAACATAAAATTTAGTAAAAATCATAATACCTGAATGATAACCAAGGCCCCTATTACGTCACCCGCAACTGTATTATATCTAAAAGCTAGGGAAAACCCCATTGTGGGGTGAGGAGTTCGCCATCTGCGCCAAACGGAAAATTAGGCAACAACTGAGGCCCATTGAATTATCACACTCTGCGGAGGACAAACCATATAGAAGCCCAGAAATAGAGCAATAGAGATAGAGAGAAGCAGTGGCAGGGGCCATCCCTTTTGGGGGAAGGACTATTCAAAACGCAATTTGGCCTGCTCCTTGAAATGCACTCGAAATTCAGCTCTGCTCTCAGCTCCTTGCCATTCTACCCGCTTTCTCCTCCTCATTAGGCAATCAATTGGCAATCACCACTTGAGCGTATCGACAAGCCATTAAACAAGCGTTAACCGAAGGACTTCCCCTTATCCTATCCATATCCTTTTGCAGATCATACGCGAACGGCTGCCGGATTATCCGGTGCGAAGCAGCCTGGTGTGGAACAGCTCCCCGGGAGCCCTGCTCACGTTGCCCACCTTCGCCGACAGTTCAAGGTTGGTATTGCCATACATCTTGCCATATCCTTGTGCTACAAAATATCCTGAATCGATTGTTACTTATTGCAGGTATATGCCATTTCTATTGAACTCAATGGGCGCAGAGCCGCGGCACAACTACACGGCAGTCATATACGTGCAGATTGGCGCCGCCCTGGGTCCGAATGCGGCGCTCTATAAGCTGGTGAGAACCATAACCAAGAGCCAGTTTGTGGAAAGGGTAAGATATAGAAAGCATATATAAATGTTGGAACTAATTTTGCTATAAACTCTTACAGATCCTTGTCCTTTGGGCAGCCGACCGACCGCTGCCGCTGAAGAAACGTTGGCCCCCCACCAACCACATACCATTGCATGTCATCTCCTTGGGGGGCAGCACAAGGAGTCAGGGAGCTGGACCCACAAGCCAGACGACTGAGGGACGACCTAGCATATCACAACGATTCCTGCCCTACGACGAGATTCAAACGGATGCCGTTCTGTCCCTGGATGAGGATGCCATCCTCAATACGGATGAACTGGACTTTGCTTACACGGTGTGGCGGGATTTTCCCGAACGCATTGTTGGCTATCCAGCGCGAGCGCATTTCTGGGATGATTCCAAGGTGATTTTCCTTATTGATATCTCCTTAGAGTATATAATATATATTCCTTTTTCCAGAATGCGTGGGGTTATACGTCCAAGTGGACAAACTACTATTCGATAGTGTTAACGGGGGCGGCCTTCTACCACCGTTATTACAACTACTTGTACACCAACTGGCTGTCGTTGCTGCTCCTTAAGACTGTACAGCAGTCCTCCAATTGCGAGGACATCCTAATGAACCTGCTGGTCTCGCATGTGACCAGAAAGCCGCCCATCAAGGTGACGCAGCGCAAGGGCTACAAGGATCGGGAGACGGGACGTTCGCCCTGGAACGATCCCGATCATTTTATTCAGCGTCAGAGCTGTTTGAATACCTTTGCGGCGGTCTTTGGGTAAGTGTTTCAGGGAGGAAAGTTCTTGTTACCATTTATACCTAATCTAAATTGAATTCCTTGATTTGTCTTTTCCTTTTCGCAGCTATATGCCGCTGATACGTTCCAATTTGCGCATGGATCCGATGCTATATCGTGATCCTGTTTCCAATTTGCGCAAGAAATACCGACAGATCGAGCTGGTCGGCAGCTAGCGATATGTGCATCCTGGCAATAGCTACAAGCGCTAAGAGTACTGAATACATATACACCACAACACAACACAACAGCAAACACCCAACAAACACACACCATAAGTTTAGACGAAATGCTGTTTTTTGACGCTGGCCAAGCGACGCAAGAACTATGTTAATTATTATTAGTAGCGAAACGAGGGAACTTAGTTAGGAGTGAAGTATGTAAATGTATGTATGGGTACATCGATGGAGGCATCCGGCATGTGTATATATACTATATAGACTCTAGATACGATTATGTGAAGTAGCCTAGTTAACTGCAAAGCGAAGCAAACGATTTTGCCATCTTTTTTGCTAATTTCAAAAATTAGCTAAACGCGCTAAAATGATTTTTCTATATATATATATATGTATACGCGCCAGCATATGTAAATGGATATACTATGATATGATAAGTAGCCGATTTTTTGTACTGTGTGCGTTGAGTTTTGTATGTGTAAAATGTAAATGTTTGTATGTGCTATGTCGTTGTTGTAACTCTTCGTGTATAGTTAGTGATTTATCCATACACTTGTGAAAACGTGAATGTGGACAATGATGGCAAAGTCGTCTCACTTTCAGTTTGAGGCTCATCGAAATCCGTATTCCACATTCTCCGTACTGAATACAATCCGGGTTAACCGTGGCCATTACACCATAGAGAGGAACGAGCAGGAGGAGGAGCAGGAACCGGAGAGAGAACGAACTCCTTGATGGCCATTCAGCAAAAAGTGTGCACAAATTTGTAGAGGAGAAGCAATTAACTAATACTAAGTTAAACGTTTAAGTAGCTTTCCATTTCCAATTTGTTATGTGCAATTATTATTTTGGACAACTCAGCTTTTAGTTCTTAACGTGGCCATTTACCGACGTATCTATCTACGCCAATCAATTACCAATATGCAATCAACTTTCTTAGTAACCAACACAGTCGCATATCAGAAAAGCGTTGAGATTGAGTCTTTAGTTTAAGCTATCACAAGGAAATTTCTATATACATACATATACTATAGCGAAAGTATATATTTCTATGACTATTTTTACAACAAATATACACCATGATTGCAGATGATTACGAACTCTTTGTTTTATTATTTTGACTTTGGTTTCACAATTATTTTAATGAGTGCAAAGGGCAATAAGAGCTGAAAGCAATATAACTATGTGTGAACATATCAAATGAGTTTGGTTTTTTATTTAAAAACATTATTTATGTTGTGAAGAGTAATTAGATTTTAATTATTTAAGAACCAGTTTGTAGCACTTTTATATTTAGAGTTTTCTATATTTATTTTTGAATCATGAATATTTTATTTGTGGTTTAATAGTAGCCAATGTTCTATGAAATTGGTTATGATAAAGTGTTTAAAAATAATCAATAATATGATTTCAACATTCTTAGAACATCTGTTTTTTATGAAAAAAGTATTTTTTATGTTACCCAGATCCTTGAATTCCCTTAATCGTATTTATTCTTCTCTCTGCCATCAAACTGGTTCTTTAAAACCTCAAAAAAATACACTCAATTGGAATCGCATGAAGCCAACTTAGAATGTTGCCCAAACTCTATCTCTCAACTCTCTCTCTCGAAACTCTTGACTGCCAAACGGCAAAATTGTTTAGCATTTATCTGTCAAATATGCTTATCGGCGATATATATATATATGAATATAGACGAATGTGAATGTGAATGTGGATGTCAGGACATGACTGCGCCATCGAGACGGACTGAAGGACATCCAGAGAGAGAGAGACGACAAATGCAATGAAATGTTCCCTATCAGCATGCACATAAATCAAACATTTCAAACAAACATTTTTGCCGTTGACTACGAATAATAATAATCAAAAATGCCAGATACATATACATATGGATATGCATATTTCGAATGTGTGTGTGGCCCAAGGCGAAGGATGTGCACAACACACAGACACAGCAGACACAACACACAACACACAACAGCAACACCCACTCTCTCACATGATATGACATCTTCATATGTTACGTATACGTATTATACACAACTGAAAGGTTCAGTTGCAACTGAATGAGATCAAATTTTGTACAGTGCATTTTATTTTTGTATCTGCGTGTAAAGGATATTTGTATTATAACTCGTATATAATTGTATTTGTGAATTTGTATTTGACACAAGCAAAAACAAGGTAAACAAACACAGAAACAGACAAATTGCACTTTTTATACAGATTTAATAATGAAAACAAAAAAAAAGAATGGTAAACATAATGGAACAACTTATCCAAAACAAAAACAAACAAACAACAAACAACTTGACCAAAAATATTCAAAAAGGCTCCTCGATCCCGCCCCGCCCACACACAAACACAAAACACACACAAAAATGAACAAACTAAAAACAAACAATACAAAAAAATTTAGAAAAAAAGGCCAAACACTAAACATAAAAACCCGATTGCAAAAGCCATTAATTAATAACAATAAAGTAATTATTGCAGCCTGCGTAACGGTAATCAAATTTATTGCATTAACATTAACAGGAAGCAGCGCGCAGAAAAAAATACAAAACCAACAAACCAAAAAATATATACCCGGGAAAGCCAACCCAATCTTAATGAAATGAGAATAGCATTGAAATTACGAATATTGGATGTTGTGATACGATTGCAAATTGCATGTGCTCTCTCATTAATATATGCAGACGGGTTACAAGTAACCCCCTACTGTTCCTTATCCCCTGGAATCTATCCACACAGTTTTCCATTTATCCATTTAACGTGTTATTGGTATAATTGTGCATAATCAATTATTTTGCCACATTTAACAGGCCAAGAGAGCCCAAGTGTCCGTTCACTTAAAATTCCAATGGGTTATTCAGTTAAATAAAATGCATTTTCGCATCCATTTTTTTTCGTGGTGTCCACATCAAATGCAGATTTACGCTTTCCACAGTCGACACTAGGAGTTAATGGGCTTTTGAAGGGGTGATGGGTTTTTTAAAGTAATAAATACATTAAATACCTACAAGATATATTTATCCCCTTTTCCGCTAATATCAAACTTGCTACCTAAAATAATTTGCTTCGAAAGGCCTGACAAAAATAAAACGACAATAAAGTGTGAGGGAAATGTGTTTGGTTAAGGATACAAAGTACTCCCATTTCTTAATATCTACCCCTAAACCATAAGGAATATACCTATATCATTTTGTAGAACAAAACCTACTGGCTATGCTTCAATGAAAACATATCTGAGCTTAAGATTGACTACTCTCGAATAGGTCCATTCACCTCGTCCATCAAATCATGCCCAGAAGATGTCCATTAATTCAATTGGATTGAAACCCCCAGAAAAGCCAGAACTCTTCGCACCTGTCACCCGTCAAATGAAATTAAATTGTTTTTCCTTGTTCCATGCTATGTATATATACTTATTGGCAAATATGAAATGATTGGCATGTGGCTAAAAGAAAAAATACAAACACGTAAATGTAAATGCAAACCGCTGATGATGAAAATGTTTACGAATACCCTTCGGTTTGTTTGTCCACGTTAAATAATATTTTAAAAATTGTACAGAAGACGGCGAAGAACAAAGCCCTGTTGAACTGCAAGTAAACTTAAACCCATATAAATATATAGTGAATGTGCTTATAACTATTGCCTAGTAATGATTGTTAAAGCTTAAGGCAAACACACACAGATACAGCGGAAATCGGAACACCTCCCACACCACTCTACACCACACACACATGAATAAATGTAAATTACATAAATAAATCCATGAAAGCGGAAACCTAGTAAGCGTAAACCATAATTTATTGGCAAAACATCGCAGCAGAAATATTATATATATCTTACATATATATATATAATATATATGTCTGGAAAAACAACAAATGTGATTTTTGAATAAAAATTAAACTGAAACTCGAACCCTTTTGCCCGTTGTTTCCTTCTCCTCAATTAAGCTGCTAATGTATTTTCAATTAAACAAGGTGCAAAGGACGAAGGAGGTCCTTAGCCTCACTCCTTCCATCTAAACGTTGCTGACAAAGTTTGCCCAGAGAATTAGCGGGTAAACTTTTGGGGCAAGTTGAAAATTTCGTTGCCGGAAAATGCGTCGTCGTGTTGCTGGTCTGCAAGAAGAACTTCTTCTCCTGCATATAGTAGTTCTGAAAAGGGCCTCCTTCGCTCTGGAAAATTAATAAATTGCCCAGCCGCCTGAAGTCTGCAATGAAATTTTGTGGTTGCATGCATTTTTGCAGCCTGGTGACGGAGCACTATCAACATGCAATTATGGCAGGACACACTTTGCCATCGATATTATTGGAGGCTCGCCCCTAATGAACTTGATTACGTGAAAGCTTTTACGCAATAAAGCAGGTGAGTGAAGGCATCTGCCAGCAGTATCGATGTCACGTTTTCATCTTGGCAACTTTGATAGTTGAAAATTTGATATATACAATTTGGCTATGAGGTTATAGAGGTCCCTGAATTACTTGTGAGATTTCTTAACTTTGAGACTATGAAATGTAGTAAGTCCTTAAAAAATAGATGCTCTTCCAAATTTTAAGGTTTTTTATTTATGTTTTTATTGTTTTAGTCTTTCCCAAAGAACTATTACTTTCTTTAATCAAATTGGAAGTAATGCCTTCAAAACGCTTCCTAGTGTACCTAAAAGTATCCAAATCTATTAAATAAGGTAAAGAAAGGCATTTTTTAAATATATTTTTATGTTCTCAGCTCTTTATTAACACAGAAATTATTCCTTTTAAATTTCTAACATCCTCAAAGCAATTTAAACACACATTTTAACCTAATTTCCGTCAATCAAAACTAAAAAAACTAAATTTTTTGTGTGTGCCGTGGGCTCGGGCTTTAAAAATTCAAAATGGATTCTTTTATTGGAACATATTGCAGCTGTTTTTACAGCTTATATTGTATGTTTTGTGATTGGTAAGCATTTTATTTTGTTTTATTTTTTTTTTTGCAGAATTTAATTTACCAGCACTTGAGCGACCCCTGGCGGGCGATGGCGGCTGCTTCGGTCACTTGCTTCCGCCATGTTGCCTGCTGTTGACATTGCCAAGGTTGTTGTTGCATGTTGCACACCCACACATAAACACACACACTCACACGATGCTTTGTACAAGGCAACAAAGCCACCGCCAGAGTGCCACGCCTTCTGTGCCGCCCACCCCGAAAACAGAAAAAAAAACAACAACTACAAGCATAGCTTACATGGAACAACCTAAAAGTAGGCAGCACATATGCTAGTTTATTTTTGCAGCTGCCATATTTTGCATTAATTAGAAAGTGGGCCATGTTTCTCCCTTCGCTAGAGTCCCGTTAAGTACTGCCAACTTGTGTGGTACTCTGTATGTTTGTGTGTGTATGTGGTTAGCGGGATAAACAAAATGGCTGCCGCTGTTCGCAATTCGCAATTCGCGTTGTTTGTCTGTGGAACCGTTAAATTAGGCTTAAAGTAACAGCAATAATAGCAGCAACCAGCCACTTTTATGCATTGTTTTGCTAAATACTTTACGCAAATTGCTTGCTCGCTGGTTCTTTGCTTTGTTGTTGCCTCTACTAATTACGTAATTAGTATTTAGGCCAAGTTGATTGTGGTTGTGTTTTTGCTTTAGTCAACGCCGCAGATGCCGATGCAATTTAATTATTTTCCAATTGTTATTATTAGCAAAACAAGCACATATTTCTAATTAATTAAAAACTATAAAGAACAAGATGCTGAGAACATGGAAGATTTGTTTTACGTTTTACCACGCTTTTCCCGGCGTATTAAAAATTCCTTTAAAAAAAATTACTCATACGCCTTGTGGGTTATATGCGTATGAGTAATTTTTTTAAAGCATTATTTTTTAAACCAATTATCGCTTGAAAACAACTCGAAAACAAGAAGCAAGAGTATTTCAATACATCACAATACAAAATAGAGGAAAACCTGGTTCAATTTATGGTTTACATTCACCTGCCAATATGCATCTGCCTACCCGGTCAAACTATGCAATACAAATTAAATCAAATTCCTTTGCCTGTCATGGCATGGTCAGGAGTTTATTTTTAATTCGTGTCAGTAAATGGCTGTCGTCGATTTTTAGGTCCTTCGTCCTGCCTAATGGGATTTAGCCATGAAACAAATTTATGCATAAATGCATAGCACCAAAAGTCTGGTCGAATTCTATCTATCGCAAGTGTTTACGACTCGTTAACTAAACGATTTGTTATGCGAACATGCAACAAATATTTGCGGAGATCCCAGAGACGACATCTGATGCCATTGTGTTTAGCAGAAATATATATGAAAATATGAAACAAAAATTTGAATTGGTGCAGCACTCAACCTCTGCTGGCATCCGCAGGACCTGAAACAGAAGCCATGGCAATCAAGCGACTCCCTCAACCCTCAACCCTCATGCCTCAGATTTCCCGGCATTTCCATCAGCCAGGAAAATTCCGAGCGGTGGATGGAAGGGGGTGCAAAGCTCACTCTAGCAGAAAACTAAAAACTTTGCCAGGCATTTTCTATAGATATATGTATGTAGGTATGTTTGTACGTACGTAGCGTAATCGAAAAAAGGAAACAAAAATAACAACACGATGCCAAAAAGAAACAATTGGCTTTTATTGAAGTAAAATTTAATAAAGAAGTTTTCAATATGCTTTGGCAATATGTAAACAATCAACTCGGCTCCAAAAATCATAAATATTTTCATTACGAGACTGCAACAGAGGCCAAACTTTCGAGTTTTGGGGGAGTGTAGGTAGGTGGTCCTGCCTGAAGTGTCCTTGTTGCTGCTATTGCAGTATTGTTTTTCCTCCTCACCCGTTGGCTAGATGCAGCTGCCAAATTTTCCCAATATGCACTCCACAAATATTTGTGTAAATTTTTTTACAATTTGTATTTCCATTTAGGGTCTTGCCCGTTACAAGTGTTGATGGCAAGTTTCGAGTCAAGAAAGCGTCCATTATGACGAATTTATTGGACGCAGGCGAAAAGTATTGCCAGCATTTAAATGTCACAACAATCTGCAGCCATCCCGGCCTCTGGTCATCCGGCTAACAGTTTGAGCCGACAGTTGAGAAAAGAAGAAAGAAGATGGAGAAAGCTAGGCTGGAGAAATGGGAAAGGAAAAGTCGGGGAGCAGGTGGCGTTGGGAAAATGCAAACGAAATTCCAAGAGGTCAAATCTGAGACTCGACAATTTATTGGCCCACCCACAGAAAAATTGTGATAATCTGAATTGATTTATGGCACAATAGTCGGAATGGCCAAGAAAATTGGCATTCCGAAAATGGCTTCAGCATTTAAATCATGTTTACTTCAATTGAAGGGTGTTAATGCTTTTACGATATGATGTGTTTTTTTTTACACGTACTGCAAGTGCAATAAAATGAAATAATATTCATATTAATATTATTATTTTACTACCAAAACTTGAGCAAACTTTCGAATTTAAGCTAACGGAATATGTAATATGTAACCATTAATTATGTTATTTTCCCTATTAAATTATTGCTTTCCTGCCTATTTTGTAACATATTTATAGAGAAACAAACAAATTACCAAATTTCACCTGTCATTCACATAACCCATTAACCTTTGCTGGAATTTTTACAGCTCTCGGCCAGGCTAATTTGTTTACACCCAACACAGACACACATTCACACCATGTGCCTTTGCCCCGTTGACCAAACTAGGCCGTCATTGCCATTTATTATAATTGAACGGCGACCCGCACAAAACCCAACTGCGAACCGCCCACGTTCGCAGGCATAAATTGATTAACTTGCCAATGAAATGGGCCAAAAGACAATTGCCACAGGCAGGGGTGTGAAAGGGGAAATTGGGGTAAAAGGATGTGGAATAGGGGGTGGGGAAAGGGAGATTGTGACTCCAGTGGAGCGACCATTTAAATGTGCACTTTGGCTTTCATAATTAACTGCAAATTATGTGCGTCGCGCTCTGGCGAAAGACACAGCCACCGACACCAGAAGCCACACCAGCATCCAGATAGCGAAAATATAGGTATTGCTATATATACTATACATTGATCAGTTTAAAATGCTTATATAATATTTTCTATTTAAAATGAGCAATGAAAATCTAGCATTGTTTAACTGATTTTTTAAATATAAAGGTTGCTGAATATTTACTGATATAATTGGGAGTGTAATTTACAAATTAGTTAGTTTCAAGATAAATTGGTATGCTACATATAAGTATATAGTATTGATTAATTATTAGGAAAGCTACTAATTTCTTTCAGTGCCTCTGCTAGGTGCCAGAATAACTGGCTGCCGGCAAAGGCGATTTTGAGCTCGTAATCTGCGCAGGTCAACAAACAAATTACGCTTTAAACTAATTAAAATCCATAAATGTGGGGACATGATGCTGGATGCCAGCATTTGCTGCTTTTCCTCCTCTCCGACCGCATCCACATCGACCATAATTGTGGGTATTCCGGCATCCAGTCCAGTCCAGCGATCGCCCTCCAAAACTCCACCGACCGGAACTCCGGCCGGCCGCACAGAGTCACCAACGAGCTAGCAACTCTGGAATCGGACGCAGATCTATCCAATCTGAAAAACCACCACCACTGGCAGATCCATACTATATTTATATACATATCGTATATTGGGCAAGTGCGGGAACACATTATGGTACATTATCTGCTTCAGACCCCCTCTGAAAAAGCAGGGACAACTTCATTTGTCATCGGGAGTGGAAGTTGGAGCGGGAGAGGTAGGGGATAGGGGATAGCGGATAGGAAAGCACAAAAAGTTAACGTTTGACACACAGCAGTGCGGAATTCAATGAAAAATAAGAACGAGGGCGGTACAATGAGTTTTTGAATACAAGTTCTATTGTTATAAACAAACAAGAAAGGAAACTATCACGTGAATCCGAAGTTTCTATACCCATGCAGTTTGCAAGTGAATTATAGAATTATACCGAAAATCCAACCTAACTAAGCTTTAAATATTCGCATTCTTTTTGTCAAGATTTTTATATAACGATAAATTTAAATATCTCATAATTAAGCCAAAAAATCATTAATTTCAATTCAGAAAGCTGTTCAGTGTTAGTTTTTATTATGCTAATAAATCTGCATACTAAATTTAAACATTTAAAAAAATTCAATTTTTTGCCAATTTTTGAGAATTGTAACGATGTAACCCCTTATAAAATTTTACAATTTTCAAAAATTAAAAAAAAAATGATTTTGCTCGGACGTAGCAAAAACGTTTTGGCCGTTGATGCTGATCAGGAATATATATAATTTATAGGGTCCTTCACAGTGTTACAATCTTCTAACTAATATGAAAGCACCCTGAGAAGGTAATGAGGATTAGCCTAATTTGTCATATTTCCTTTCTTTCAAGCTTGGTTTTTAATAGTTTCATATCGTATTATTTCAAAATATATCCTTATGTCTATTTAAATACAGTTCACTTAGCAAAAGACCCTAATTCTTATTTATAATACACAGTCCTTAAGTCTATTTAAATACAGTTCACTTAGCACTAGACCTTAAGCTAGAGCCTCACCAATTAAGTCCTATATATAATATACACAGTCTGAAAACAAATTAATAAGACTCGAACATGAAAGTTGAGTGTTCTGTTAAGTTCTAGGAAATGACGAGTCACAACCTAGTTTCGTATGAAGTATATTCGTATCAGCAATAGAATGTGGCCTTAAAATTAATTTAATTAATATTAGGCGTGATGTGTCTTTCTTAAATCAAAAAGTGTGGTGGCCCCTTGTCTTCTGTTGAGTGAATTAAATTAAGCGAATGCCTAAATATTAACTCAGCTTACCACTAGTTTTGTAACCACAAATTCCCCCCTCGCTGTGGCATTTGAAAGGGATGCCTTTTTGGGTTTTAGGGTCCCAGGTCCATATGTACATACATATAGTAGCATTTAGTTTGGTTCGAGGCCCGTTACCATGGCTTTATAGAGCTGCTCTCCGCACACACGCACACCCTTTTGTTGCTGCTGGTTGTGGTGGTGTCGCTGGCGTTTTGATCTATGGATGCATGAATGATTCGCTGCGCACCGCAGCAGCAACATCAGCAGCAACATCAGCAGCAGCAACAACAGCAGCAACAGCCGTAATGACACCAGAAAACAATTGAAATAATTCTAGCAGAAATTTCTGTTAGCTCACCAACCAACCATCCAACCCGGGGCAGGCAACTTTATTCGTGGTGTGTGTTTTTTCCGTGGCTCAGTTTCCATTTCAACGTCGAGCGGACATACGGGAAAGTTGCAGAGCGAAAGAAATATATACATACATATATCTGTACGTTTCCAGCGGAATATTTACGCATATTTCGTTTGGTCGGAACGCCGTGGACTGTATGAAAATAAAAACGCATATCATAATTAATAAATGCGCTTAAATGCGCCATGAACTATGCAAAAGTTATGTGCTAAAAGTGAGAGCTAAAAAGTGAGTGTTGCGACTGGCAATCATGTGGAATGCATTAAAGATTCAACGCTTTTTCCGGCTCCTACCGATCCTGCTGCTCCTCCTGACCAAGTTTAGTTTGGGCCAGCAGACGCACATCAAACTGGAGCAGGGAGATCTAGTTGGGGTGAGAATGGGATATATGGGATATATGAACATAGACCTCGATTTATATATGAAACTGATTTCTTTGCGTTGCAGCTCAAAGTCTTTCCCGATGGAGCCCGTGGTGCTGTCTATGCCTTTTTGGGCATTCCATATGCCCAGGCTCCGGTCAATGAACTACGTTTTGCGGTAAGAATATACAATACTTAATTTATTTATTAAAAATATCAAACAAAAGGAAAGGAAGCTATCTTCAGGAAGCCGAAGATAAATAACAATTTGTTTCTACAAATCAATGATTAAAAATCTCCTAACTAATTTAATTAATTTTATACTATGTTTGTATTTAATAGGTTAACAAATCTGCATACCCAGTTTTAAATTTTGAAACCGTTAAATGACTTAAATTATAATGGCATTCTTTGAAGAGATATTTGTCAAATTTTTTATGACATTTTTTTATGCAGATCAAAAGTTAAAAATCTCATAACTAAGCCAAAAATGCATTAATTTTAATTCGGAAAGCTTTCCTATGCTTGTTTTTTATTGGTTAACAACTCTGCATACTCAGTTTGAAACCTCAAATTTTGGCCATTTTTTGAAAATTTTAACGATGTAACCCCTTATCATTTTTTGAAAAAATCGATAAAATCGACTTGTCTTTTTTTGCTGATCAAGAATATATATGATTTATGGGGTCGGAAATGAATCTTGACTGATTATAACTATAAACCCTCTGCATAGGTATAAAAATTTAAAGGGTAACAATGAACGCTAGGAGGAAAAGCTTCGAGCCAGTTTCAAAGCTTGGAGGCATTTATATTAGTTAAATTTCATTACATTAAATTAATGCTTTGAACACAATTCCTCATTGCATAATATGGTTAAATATTATTTCAACCTTAAACAGAAGTATGACTCAATTTATTTGTTTGCACATATGTACTCTTTATTTTTGTTATTTCCCTTTAAAACCAATGAGCATGATGGTCAAAATAAAGCTGTATTAACTCAAATTTCACTCATTAATGTTTGGATTATTATCGATTTTAAAATAATTGCTGCTATCTTTTGATTTAAAAATTATTATTATTATTTCGCAGCCCGCCAAACCCAGTCCCAGTTGGAATCGCACCCTCCAGGCCACCGCCATGCAGCCCCTTTGCCCGCAGCTCTCGAACACCGTTTATGACGAGAGCTCGGATGGTACGATTCCCAGATCAGTGAGCACAGATGAGGACTGCCTCTACCTCAATGTTTGGACGCCGGAATCGGGGATGCGGTATGGCAAGCTACCCATCGTGATCATTGTCACGGGTGAGGAGTTCGCCTACGATTGGCCACGAAATCGCATCAATGGATTGGATCTGGCCGGGGAGGGTATCGCCGTTGTGAGTGTGCAATATCGGAACAATATCTACGGATGGCTGGGACTAGGAGAACAACATCGTCACCTGTCGGGAAATTATGGATTAAGTGATGTCAATATGGCCTTGCGATGGGTTCAAAGGAATGCAGATGCTTTTGGTGGCAATCCGGATCACGTTACCTTATTGGGTCACGGAAGTGGTGGAGCTCCACTGGCGTTGGCTGTCGCTCTGCACGAGTCTCAGCTGGTGAAGAAACTAGTGCTCATGTCACCGGGTCCTATTATGCGTTCTCTGGGCAAGAATCACCATCGGCGGATAGTGGGAACGGGTCAGGTTCTCGTCCAGAAATTGGGCTGCCAGTTCGAGGAGGCCCAACGTCGTCAACTGATGGGTTGCCTGAGGCGAAAGAGTCGTGAGGACCTGCTCCGAGCCTACGAAAGTGTATACAACCATGGCAATGGTAGCTCCCAGCTGGGCGTAATTCTGCCCGGAGGTTTAGAATTGGAGCAGAGGCTGCGAAATGAGACGCTACCACCCTTGCTCCTGGGTATAACCTCAAATGAAGGTGCCTTCCTGCAGGACTACTGGTTGGATGTGGCCCGAGTGGGTCAGTTGGCTCTGCAGGAGTACATCAATCACACCCTTTTGCCCAATGTAATGCGATCTCTGGAATCAACGGGTGAAGAGAGTGCCTCCCAACTGGCAGCCATCAGATGGAGATACTTCAATGGCAAGGGAGAAGGCGTAATCCATCTACTGAGCGGAATGCAACGGCTACTCTCCGAATCCCTGTACGAGCTGCCCTTTTTTTGGCTGATGAATTTGGTCAATGGAAGCACCACCAGCTATGCCTACGTCTTTGATCAATCCCAATCGATGGACATGCGGGGCAGAAGGAATCTCTTCGGTGGAGCCTCCCACAGCTCGGATCTTCCCCTGCTCCTGGGTCCCAGTTTGTTCCAGCAGATAGCTCGTCGCAGATTCAGCGGTGAAGAGGAGCAACTGTGCCGTAAGCTGAGGGGAGCCTTTGCGAATTTCATTAAGAACGGGAATCCTACTCCAGGCAGAATATACGATGGATGGTTGCCCTACAACAAGGAGAATCCATTCGTTTACAGCTTGGGAGAGCAGCCGGCGAAGTCATCCCAAGCGGGTTCAGTGGATGAGGCAGAGGTAGAGAAGTTACTCAGAGCAGAAACAGGAGTTTCAGGCCTGGATCGGAGTCTATCTCGGAGCAACCGCCACGACTCGTACAGAGCCACCCACGCCAACTCCTACACAGCCAGTAATCCGCAGGATTCCGGCTACTCCAATCACTTGCAAAGGGTTCATGGATTCTGGCAGGTGCTGCTACCCCTGGAAAGGGAGGACGACTTGAGAGGAGGCGCCCTGGGTCAGCGCGTCCGACTCCTGGAGGCGAATGCCGATGCAGCACGCTATCGCCAGGGATTCTTCGCCATGCTGGGATTGGTCTGCCTGCTCCTCGCTTGCCTCTGCCTTTGTGTCTATCTACTTAAAAGGGATCCCAATCCAATGCGAAGACGCAGTGCGTCCTCGGCTTCAGACTGCTATAGCTTATGACATAAGTGGTTTCGTTGGACGACCATCTTTGGGGGCCGGAAGGACGAGCGGCAGTCGGCATCGGGCATTGCCAATGTCGAGTCCTGGCGCAAAGGTGGTCGTTCAACGAAACGGGAACAAGGTGGAGCGGGATCAGGCGGAGGAGAAGGATCTGGAGGTGGAGGTGGTAATCTTGAGGGCGAACGACGAGAGCAGATCCTCAATAATCAGCGTGCAAGACGTCCCCGTCAATTGCAGCCGTATGACTTCAAGGCTGCCAACTCTAATGGAGGAGGAACGGGAACAGGAACCGGAAGAGCGATCGGTAACGGAGCCGGAACCGGCGGAGGAGCTGGCCCAGCACCTGGAACTGTTGAGGAACTCCTGGACCCTAACGCCAGCAAATTCGAGCCGAGTGTGGCTGTTAGGAACTGGCAGTACCAGTTAACTTGTGATAAGTTCTAAAAGCAACCAAAAATTTAAGTTCTAAGTTCAAAAACTTATGTATATTTGTACTTTAAATGTTTACACTTGTCCGTAATTAAATAAACCAAAGTTTTACACAAAAAAGAAAGGAAGGTAACTCAGGAAATAGAGTACCAGGCGAACAGAAATGAGACCAAGTAGACCTAAAAAAATTAAGCTGACACATAACCGTTTCTGGAATTTAAACAGTTTACTTAAACAGAACATGTTATTTACTTGCTGAATTTTTATGTTTGCGTGGTATGAAAGTGCTTGAGTGCGTCGGACTAGCTCCGATTTTGTGAAAAATTAGAAACTAGTTATTGTAAACATTAGTCCAGTTTATGTTTATTGTAACAAATATCGCAAAAGTCCATTTATATTATTAACCTATTTTCGTCAACAATTCAAAGGCACCAGTTCCATTCCTCACCGGCAGACCCACCATCAACCGACTTGACGGCGAGTTTAGCTCATCCGGCCGGCCGAATCCGGCTGCGCTTCTCAGAAACTGAAGACTGGACTCGAAGGACATCTGTTGCAGGGGCGAAGAGGAGTGCTCCATTCCCTTCCTGGACAGCGGCTGGAATGTCCCGTCAAAGGTCATGTAATCCGCAATTAGCGACAAATGTCGACGATCCACCGTGATGCCGTAGACCTTGAACACATTGCTCACTTCCTTAACAATCACTTGCGAGGCAGCCTCGATGCCGTACGTCCTCGCAATCGCATGGATATCGTTGGAGTACAGGCGATTCAGATCGAGAATCTTGTTATACTGGAACATCTCGCCGATGTTGATGCCGTCGGTTTTTAGAAGCTGCTCATCATTGCCGCCCTTGTAAATGATTGCTCGCTTGATGTGCTGCACCTGGTGAACCACACTCTTGCCCGCCAGCTCGCGGATGATGGAAGTCAGATCGGGCTTCTGGTAGCGAACGCTCAGGCTCAGCTTAACCTGGCACCACAGATGGTCCTCCTTGTCGTAGATGTAGCCCTTGACCATTTCGTTGCTCAACAACTTCTCCACGGACTTGTCATCGGAATCGCCGTTCTCGTTACCATCTAGACCCTTCTCATCGTCGTCCTGGTCGTCCGCCTCTTCATCATCCGCTGGAAAGCAAGATGATAGTTAGAAAATAAATTAATACAGTTTAATCCACGCTTACCATTGGCATCTTCCAACTCTTCAACATCATCTGGGTCATCGTAGTCTCTGTCATCGGTCTTGCGCTGCTTCAACTTGACGCCAGTCGCATCGTCATCACCCTGTTGCAAAGGAAAAATAGGTTTTATAAGGGTTGATATGAGGTTGTAGGTTTACATACATTATCGTCCGAAGAGTCACCATCATCATCTTTGGACTTACGACCACCACCGCCCACATCATCACCATTATCCAGGTCATTATCATCATCTCTGTCTGCGTCCTTTTTGTCGTCCAATACAACTCTGCAAAATATAACAATTTAATATAAAGGGCTCCTTTAAATTGTCTATAGTTTCCTTACATTTTCGACGTCTTTTTAGCGCTGGATACTTTAAGAATGGCCCGAATTAGTTGTTTGAAAAATGTTTGGTGCATGTATTTTACGATCTGCTTGGGTCGCACCCCATAATCCTCTTTGTAAACGTCCCTGGGAAGGAATTGGAAGCGCATCTCGTATTCGTAAGCCCTTTCCGGCTCGAGGGCCAAGCTGGTGTTTATATGAACAGCTATAATTTAAATAATTTAGTAGTCAGGTTTTACAAATATAAATTCATAACTAAACTTACACTCCAAAAGATTTGCTAGAGTCACACAGTTCAGATTAACGCGCAGCTTCTCCGCCTGCTTTTGCTGGCCCGGCTTAATGGGTATGTCCATCGAGGGCGTCTTGATGTTCGAGGAGGCCAGCATTAGAATCTCTCGAAGACGTGGTATACCCAAGGTCACGTTCATCTCACCACGACCGGCAAAATGGAAAGTATTCAGTGTCATCTGAGTGGAGGGTTCACCGATCGACTGGGCTGCTATCAGACCCACAGGCTCGCCGGGCGATGCCAACGCCTTGATAGTCTTCATTCGCATAATATCCGATATGGTTTCTTTTTGGTTAGGATTCCTCTTAGCGTAATCACTAATCAGTTTTCTTGTTCTCTCAGACACACTGCCATAGTACAGATCCTGCTTGTATACGGCCACCGAGGGATCCGGACAGCGGGCATACTTCTTGCGATACAGGGCTTTGTCCTCGGCGTCTGCTTTCTTCCAAAGCTTGAGCAGACCCTCGTCAAAGCGGCGTCGTCCCGTCTTGGGGTTTATCTCATTCGGTCGGGCCACCTCAACTTCATCGCGCAGCTCCTCGGAGAAGTGTGTGAAGGCTGCGCACAGCTTAGCCGGCTTCTTCTTCTGCCACTTCCTGATTTTCTTTTCGTGGTCCTCAATCTGGACGAGGCTCTCTTCGTCCTTCATTACCTGCAGCTGACTAGGTCGCAAAATTGCAGCGGCATTCTGTGTTAGAAAATCGGCGCAGAACTTGTCGTTGAAGAATTTGGACTTGAGGATATCAAGGCCATCTTCGCCGTAAAGGAACTGCACCACACTGTTGTCACTGTCGCGCACAGTGAGATCGTAGTGAACACTTAAGCCTTCCAAGTGCTTAATGAGGCAGCGCTGCAGGTAACCAGAACGCGATGTTTTCACAGCAGTATCAATCAGACCCTTAAAAATATAAGAATACGGATTATAGTACAGGTGCTAGCATGGGAAAGGATTCAAATCATACTTCACGACCAGCCATGCAATGGAAGAAGAAGTCCTGCGGCTGTATGCCCGTCATGAAACGACCATCAATAAAACCTCCCGACTTGGGTGACGTCTCAAAGGATGTAAAGCTGGGAAGTGACTTGCCCGATATCATCAAAGGCGGCCGCTTGCCCTCCAACTCAATCTGTCCCAGCAGACAGGAGATCTGCATGGTATTCACCATGGATCCTTTGGCACCGGACAGCACCATCAGTTGCAGGTTGTTCGATGGGAACTTGGTGATCAGGCCATCAGGAAGGCATGTTCTTCGAAGAGAAAGTTTTGATAAGTTTACAAACTTGGTATGTAATTTTTAAAACCTACTTGTTTATATCATTTGTGTAGCCATCCAACAACGACTTGTATTTGCGATCCAACAGCACTCGGAACTTGGTATCCTTTACATATGCATCCTCCATCTTCTCCACTAGCTCGTCGTGCGGCGGCTCATCCTCAAGATCAAGTGCTGAGGCCACGGCACTATTTCCCACACGGCGACACTCTCGAATGATATTTCTTCTCTGTTGATCCGCCTCAGCTGTCACTAGAATATCCTTGACGCCTAGCGTAAAGCCTTCCAATTGCAGGAAGAATGTGAACACCTTTGTAAAGGCTGTAAGCAGGCGGGTAGACACATCGCCGCCGTACAACTCGTACATGCAATGGATTAAACCAAAAGTGGTGGCTCCGTATTGCTGCTTGTCCAGCACGCCAACAAGCAGTTCACCCTTTCTAATTTGGACCTGGCTTTCGCCAAGCTCGTTTTCTTGTGGACTGCAGCCACACAAAGCAGCGCGTGGAGGACTCACATTCCAATTCTGAAAGAGATTGGGAATAAGAAACTTAAATAAGGAAACCTATAATCCATCCTAATAGTCGAACTCACCTTGCCACCTATCTTGGCAAACGAATCCAGATTGATTTTTTCATAGCCCTCGGGTATCAGGTTGATAATAATGGTGGACAGTACCTGCTTGCCGGACCACAGCCTCGCCGGCTTGAAGATGGCCGGCGGCAGAAGCTTGACATTCTTTTTGAGGTGGGACAGACCTTGGAACACCAGCTGCTGGTAGTCCTCCCGGTTAAAGAAGCGCCCCCGAATCGAGAGCTTCACGCCCGAAATGACGTGATCCTGAATGAGTCCGCCTAGCGGAGTGCCGTCCTTGGGCACGAGATAGTTGTTGGCCACATTAACTAGGTTGTAGGCCTCGGCCCTGGCCACCTCGCTCTGCGGATAGTGGGCGTTCATCTCATCACCGTCGAAATCGGCGTTGTAAGCCTTGCAATTGGAGTAGTGCAGGCGGAAGGTCTTCTCGCCGTATAGAATCCGGGCCTTGTGCGCCATAATGGAAGGCTTGTGCAGCGAGGGCTGACGATTGAGCAACAGCACATCTCCGTTAAGGACATGCCGATGGACAATCTTTACGCCATCCTTCGGATTCGAGAGCAGCAGCTTGGCCAAGCTTTCACGCTTGGCCGCATTGTCGCCGGGTATATAGGTGGTAAAGCCGTTCTTGTCCTGAATATAGTTCGCTCCGGGGTGCACCTCCGGCCCATTCATAACCATCTTCCGCAGCTCTTGGACATTCCATTCGGTCACCGGCACGGGATACGAAAGTTTCCTGGCAAATATATCCGGAATACCGATCTCATCTACGTCTATGTTGGGATCCGGCGTGATGACTGTACGAGCGGCGTAGTTGACGCGTTTGCCCATCATGTGCTTGCGAATGAGACCCTCCTTCTTTTCCAGAACCTGCTTCAGACCTTCGGCCGACTTCATCTCTCGGGACATGTTCACGTCGAGCAGAACATCCACCGAGGTCTGCAGAGCCAGCCAGGCGTTGTATAGCTTTTCGTGGGCATTGCCCCCTTTCAGGTTTTCAAAGGCGGCTAGGGCCTCTGCCGAGAGCTTTTCCTTATTCCCCTTCATGTACTTGAGCACCACATTTAGCACATGGTTATTCTCAATGATGTGAATGTAGATATCCGTTTGGGGGTTGCCTTTCAGCATGTCTCCGATCATATTCATGGGACGAGCGCGCGGTGGCGTCACAGGCAGGGTGTCCATGAAAAATAGATCCACCGGCGAGCGATCGCCGTCAGATGCATCCGTATTGCTGAGGCTTAAAACGGGGACCAAGAGCTTTAATAGCTCGGGGTAATTGGCGTAAATCTCGCGCAGATAGCGACGACATTCGTCCGCGAAGATCACCTTGTTTTGACCACCAGCATCGGTGGCACCACCAACACTAAAGGATGCAAAAAAAAAAATGTGTTAAGCTGTTTTAACGGATGTCATTTTCCCCTTACCGCTCTTTAATGTCCGCCAGAGTGACGTAGAAGACCAGCCTTCGGTGCATGTAACGCACGGAACGCATGGATTTATTACAGTGCCTGCACTTCTTGCCCGGCCGCTGGAGAGCTGCATTGGTGACAGCTGTGCGTAAAGCGCAGCTCGTTTTAGTAGAGTTGCTAAGGTTCTTCTCGTTCTTAGCCAGCAGATTGTACATGGCAGCAATTGTTGGGTGCACTAAATCACCGTTCCTCAAGGTTACCAGCTCATTGGTGTTCTGGCACACAATCTCCGACTTGAAGAGCTCCAGTTCTTGGGCCTCAATGATGTAGCCCGCATCGATGAGGCGTAGCTGCAGCATGATGACCTCGCACTCGTGATCTGCCAAAAGACAACTGTTAGCTCAGATTAAAGATCAGATCGAATGTTGGCTATTTATTACCCTTCATCTGCAGCTTGTAGCAGTGGAGACAGAAGATGCAGAGCAGGCGCTGAACCAGCTTTATGAAGAACGGATTGTAGACAGGCGTGCCGAGCTCAATGTGACCCATGTGACCTGGACAGTCCTGCATCTTCAGGCAGGTGCCGCACGGGTTCAAGCACCGGCCGTACGAGCCCAGCCGGATGTCGTACAGACCACCAGGCATCGGGTGTCCCAGTGCATCGAACGTAATGCCCGTTATCACTTTTACCACACTCAGTTTTCGGATTTCCTGGTCTGTAAACACCGCAAACTCCAGGTCCGAGGGGAACATGTGCACGTCCATCGGCCGCTTCGAACCCATTTTGAAGGGTTTTGAACACACTTTTTGTTATAAACCAAAGAAAGCTAAAAGCGCGCACGTGTTGGGCTATTAGAGATGGGAAAAGTGTCGATTTCAAAAACTGACAACTATTCTATCGAAAATTGTTATCATATTCAATAGGCTCATCTCCAGCAAAACAGCTGATCTTCTTTTGTTGACAAAAATTGTTTTGATTAGAATTCTTAAAAATGTTAACATCCATGGTTAAAGAACACCACAAGGAGCAGGTGAAACGGAAGCAAGAGCAGGGTATGTGATTCACAGAATGTTTTTGCTTGAAAAGTTATTTTCTTGTTCCATTGCCAGAGGTACGAAGAAAGGAGGCTATTGAAGCCTCTAATGAGCTCACCCAGTCCCTGGTAGACACCCTAAATGTGGGCGTGGCGCAGGCCTACTTAAACCAGAAGCGCCTAGATGCGGAGGCCAAGCAGCTCCACATGGGAGCCACGAATTTCGCCAAGCAGACGCATCAGTGGCTGCAGCTCATCGACAACTTCAGCAGCGCGCTGAAGGAGCTGGGCGATGTGGAGAACTGGGCCCGCAGCATTGAGGGAGATATGCATGTAATAAATCAGAGTCTGGAGCTGGCCTACAAGGCCTCTCGGGCGGCCCAGGCTTCGGGAGGGGCAGCAACTGGTGCCGAGGCCTCGATTTCTGCGACGAAATAAAAATCATATGCCATATAAGGTTTTGTTCAATGTTGCTGAGGGAATCAATATTCAAAACTAATTGCAATTAATTTTATTTTAAGTTACCAATAATCTTTCAAGCTAAAATGATTGAATTTTTTTTTCTTTATCATGGATTCACTGTCCCTTGACCAAATGTATTATAGGAAGCGTAATAAATGCGTCTCTACATAACCAACAAGTTATCTTGGTTGTCATCAATAAAAATATGAATTTTTATTTTGTACTCTCTGCACATTATGGTTATAATTAAAATTAATTATCATTATCATATTCGCTGCCATTCCTTTTAAAATACATATCACAATGTGTGCGGGCGCCTTCGGTTGTGGAACGATGGAGGGGTAAGTAGTTGGGCCACGCACGCCAGGGGCGGACATCTGAATGTAAAGATGGTAATTCCTTTCTGACGAGAATCAACTTCGCTTTTGTATAGCAGCGATGATAATGGTCAACGCGTTGTATATTTTAAAATAGTCTAATGGTGAACTGGTCGGTCACCAACCAAATGTAAAAGATGGGATACAGTCTATCAGTCGTATGCTCCTGTGCAGGTCTTTCCCCGACGCAATCCAGCTGGGCCGAGAACTGAGCATGAGTTTAGGAAGTAGCCAGCTAATAGCGTGATGACATGCGACCTAGTTTGGAAGCATCAAAGACTAGAAGCTAGATCAACTGGAAAATGCAATCATATTCTTACGGCTAGGGCCAGAACGAGAACGGGAACGTGAACGGCTACGCACGTAGCGAGTGCGACTATGGCTCTTGCGGAAGCTGCGCCGATCGCTATAGTAATTGCTTCGCTGACGATAGCTGTCATTCGGTGAGACTGAGCGATCACGGCGTCGCTCTGGGCGATTTGAATAGCCGCTGTAGGAAATACTTTAAAGGCAGAGTTCTAAAAAGCATTCAGGACTAATTTAGCTTACCGCGATGGACGGCCCATGTAGACTCCCGGAGTAGGAGTGTGGGCACGCTGGGTTATCGAGTAGTCGACGCGAATGCGACGACCATCCACTTCTATGCCGGAACAGGCATCCTTGGCCACCTTGGCATCTTTGAGATTCTCAAAGTAGATAAAGCAAAAGCCACGCGAACGTTGAGTCTGCAAAGTGAATTTGGGAATGGACAAGTTATTCCATATATAATTAATAATTAAAAGCATAGTCCTCTCATTGGTTGTAAAAGCAAGCCTTTAGCTCTTAGTTTTGAATGCACAAGAGCTCATAATTGCTATTTAGTATAATATAGCCAGTAAATTTTACTCCGAACCGCCAGTCTCTAAGCAGTTCGGTCAGTATAAATGCATACTGGCGCAAAAAATAAATTAGACCCTTCATGAACCCCGCTTACGTGTGCATCGATGACCATCTGGATACGCTCGATGGGTCCAAACTTGTTAAAGAGCTCGCGTACCTTGTGCTGCGTGGTATTGGTATTCAGTCCGAAGACTCCAATGCAGCGACTAGCCTGGGGTCGATCCTGGAAACGGATAAACTTTGAATTGATATGGATTTAGCAGCGAGAACGGGCTAACTTACGCGCGCCTCATACATGCGCTGGCGGTCGCGGGATGTGCGTCCGGAATGGTGGCGAGCAACCGGGGCCGATCCCTGGTACTGCGACCGCGAACGGGAGCGGGACCGGGAACGGGAGCGGGAGCGGCGATGTGAGCCCGAGTTCTGATGCTGACGATTTTCATAGTAACTCGCGTCCGACCTTGTATGGAATGGAATAGGATTAGATTCTCTTGAGTGTTCTTTCTTGCGTGCCTTTAACTGAGCTGACAAGTGAAAAATTTTGACTGAGTTCGTGTGGCTTGAAGTGTTTTCAATTCAATTCAATTTTCGGGCCTATTCTTGAGCTGGAATGCTTCAAGAGGGTTCTTACATATCGATGAGGTTCTTTTCTTCTTCAGCGAAAGAAAATCTTCTTAAATGCGGTCCGTCTAGCAGCAAGCTGGAGTCTTCTTTAATTACTACGCGTCGACCACCAACTTTATCGTTTGAAGGAAAGACCGAAATGAAAGGTACCACACTGACAGTTTAATAAATTTGTTTCGTTTTCGATTCTGTCAAAAGGATTGCCACTCTCTAGGCACTGATGTCAAAAAGTTAGGGGTTTGAGCGGCCACATTATGCACATATGTATGTTTGTGTAGGTTCGTGTGTATACTTACCGGCGGTCCTTGTGTCCGGATGAAGGAGTTGTAGCCGGAGAAAAGGACGCGGAGCGCTTGAAGCTACTGCTGCAATCGAATGTTTTAACACTGTGCCGGCTTGAGGGCCATTTTTTGGCTCACCTGTCGTATTTGCTATGCAAATAGTTTCGCTCGTACGAGGAAGGCGACAGCTTTTTGTGGGAAAACTAGTTTTAATGCCAGCCGCCTTGATCAAGCACTCGACTCACCATCTTTGGGTTTGGGTTATTGCAGCAATATTGCACAGCCGTATGTACCAGTTAAAGTAAAATCAGCATAAATAATATTAAATGTTGTTTATACTTTGCAATATCCGATAACGCACGCTTCGGCCGATATCGATATCGATAGGCACTTTAGTATTTTAAAATATTAATTTTATTTGGTTTATGACCAATAGTATAAATATAGAAAATAGACAGAAAATAATATATAATGTGATATAGCTTTTGGAAATGACACTATTTTCAAAAATATCAAAAACATCTGACGATTCAATATTTTTTAGGTTTAAAATACGATTTAAGCCAGGTTGAAATTTAATACAACAAAGGAAAATAATTTCGGGTAGCTCCTGTAGTTTTCGATAGAATATATATTATATTATAGGATCGAATCGGAAAACGATTTTAACTAAAATTAAAATATTTGCATTCATTGGATATATATTTTATATGAATTTTTTTTCGACAAATCAAAGTTTACAAAACTCATAACTAAGCAAAAAAAGCATTAATTTTAAATCGAAAAGCTGTGCCATGTTAATTTTTATTAGCTTACAAAATCTGCATACTCAATTTGAAATTTAAAACAATTAATTTTTTTTGAAATTTTTGGCAATTTTAACCCTTTATAAAATTTTAAAAAAATTTGTAATTTTTATTTTCTTCTTAAACATGTTCAGAACGACTGGACTTTTGATGCTGATCAAGAATATATAGATTTATAGCTTCTGACTAAAGCTATGATACCTTGAAGAGTAATAAAAATTAGTAATAACAAGAAAGGAAGCTAACTTCGGCACGCCGAAGTTTATATACCCTTGCAGATAGAACTTCTATGAATAGGAATCCAAACAATATAAATTATATACATATATTTGTGATAAAAAACAATGAAGTAATACCTGCTTTCATTTCATTCACCTATACATATTATATTTTCAGTTTTACATTCACAGATTTGCATTTTTCCTCTACATCAAACGATCGTTTGTATGGCAAAATTGTAGAGTATAGTCAAATGGCTATATCTCAAATTTGATCAATTCTATTGAAAACTGAAAAAGTTAAAATATTGTTTGTAGAAATCATTCCTATGGCAGCTATATGATATAGTCGTCCGATCCGGCCCGTTCCGACATATATATGAGTGAGAGTATATAGAAGGCTAGCTACAAAGTTTCATTCAGATAGCTTCAAAACTGAGAGACTAGTTTGCGTAGAAACGGACAGACGGACAGACGGACAGAAGGACAGACGGACATGGCTAGATCGACTCGGCTGTTGATCCTGATCAAGAATATATATACTTTATATAGTCGGAGGTGCCTCCTTCACTGCGTTGCAAACTTCTGACAGAAATTATAATACCCTGCAAGGGTATAAAAATAATTTTTGGTACTTCTTCAGGAAATATGCGTATATTTTCTTAAGTTAAAGTTTTTAAGTTAAAGCTAAATCACAGGATTAGTCAAGGACTACCTATACCGCTTAGCCCACATATTCTTCACCATAACATAGTTGTAAAGCCGCTGCTGCTCCAGGTGATGCAGATCTGATATGGTCTTGACAACACGCTCGTCGTTGAAATGGCTCTTGGGTGGGGCCTCCAGTAGGTTGCCAGTGGTAAACCACTTCAGCTCCGAGAAGTGTTTCTTCACGCTGGCACGCAGAGCGGCTCCACTGAACACTGGCGTCCGGTAGAGATCGAACATGTTCTTTTTGCCGTATTTCTGGTGAATCTCATCCACGGTTTTGTCCAGTTCCGGCTGTTTGCAATAGTAAATGACCCACAGTTTGCGCTCCGGAGCTCGCAAGTCGGTCAAGCTGAGCACTCCGAAAAACTCCACTATATAGGGGTTGCATTTTGGCGACTCCGCTTTCGGTTTCATGTAGAAGAGGCGCCTCAAATAGTCGTCGATTTCCGACTCCAGGTCATAATCAGTTTCTGTAAAAATAGGTGGTATTAATCATCAGCATCGAGAACTTTTATTGTTTTAATGATTTATTTTACCTGTGCTACCGTCTTTAATGGCTTTGGCTGTCATGTTGTAGTCTAATATCTATTAAGGTACCTCGTAGATGGTTTCTTATTGTTAAATGCTACTTAACTTTAAAAGGAATTTCCTTAAATAGCGCAAAAATACAATTTCAACGGGCACGCAATATAAGCTTGCGTTTTGTTTACAATTTTCAATTTCACAATAAAGTAAAAATGAGCTTTTCATAGCAACTCTGCCGTTTATCGATAAGCGATGTGCTTTTCAGTTTATTTATTTACATTTTCAATGCCGGCGCGGGGGAGGTTTTTGGTCGTTATAGCGCTTGAACCAATCGTGCTGGACCATTATATAGTCAAATAGCCTTCTCTGCTCTCTTTCGTACAAATCACTAACGTCCCTAACGACCCGTTCATCATTATAGTGGCTCTTTGCCGGAGCCTCCAAGAGATTTCCGTTTGTGATCCACTTCAAGTGGGAGAAATGTTTCCGTACAATACTCCGGAATCCAACTGCACTATATGTGGATTTCCTATATATTTCCCATACGTTCTTCTTTCCATATTTCTGGCGTATTTTATTCCCCAATTCCGGAATTTCCGGCTGTGTGCAGCTGTATATGTGCCAAAGTCTTCGGTCTGGAGCCAGTGGATCTCTAACACTAAATACTCCAAAGTACTCCAGCTCAGAGAGGTCTAAGCCAGTGGGTTCTGCTAATGGTCGGAGGTAGAAAAGACGCCTCCAGTACTTTTCCAATTTGTCCTCTAATTTGATTTCACTTCCTGCTGAAAATAAAAAATCAAAGGTATAGGTATCAATCAATAAGATGACTCATCGGATTTACCCATTGATAAACTTTCGTTCTGCCGTGACTTCCAGCCGCTAACAACTTTGCCAGAGCACTGTTTCAAATTCATTCGCAGACTTGTATTTATAGCTTATTTCTTAAATAAAACTTAGTTCATCTCATACATGATTTTGAAGAACATTACTATACTTTGCATATAAAGCACTCCTTTCATTTAGATAATCGTAGTACTTTCGCCTTTCGGTCAGGTACAGATCCGTGACTGTCTTCACCACCTTTTCGTTGTTGTAACAGCTATTGGGGGATGCTTCTAAGACATTCCCCTTGACGTACCACCTAAGGCCGGAAAAGTGGTTCTTAACCCGGGATCGCATTCCACGCCCCGAGAAAACGGGCTTTCGGAAGAGCTCATACATATTCCTTTGGCCATATTTGCGGTGTATTTGATCTATAGTTTTATCCAACTGTTCCGAAGTCGCATAGTACATATACCACAGCTTTCGTTGTGGCGCTCGCATGTCAGTTAAGCTAAGTATCCCGAAATACTCGACTTGTTTAAGATCGTATTCATTTTTTGTGTCCAATCCATTGTCCCAAAAGCCGAAGGCTCTTCGCATATATGTTTCCAGTCGCTTTTCCAGGTCTTGGAATGCAGCTTGAAAATTTGGTTAATTGAATTAATAAATAATTATTAAAAATATCCATTTATTCTTACAGTTGGGCGTTCCAATAGCCTCTTCAGTAGATGTAGTCATTTCGAGTGGGGTTTATTTAATAAAAATAGTTCTTTCAATCGTCGGCTTTTATACGTTCAACTTTTGTATTTCAAAAAGCTTTACCATTTCGCCAAAAGATAAATTAGCTTTAGCCAGCAAAAGTTTATAGATATAATAAATATTTTGAAATAGTTAAAGACATTAACTTTCTTAATAATACACGATTCGTTTTATACTTTTAATATTTATGTACTAAAATATATGTAGTTATATGACTTTAGTTGATCACTTTTGTAAGTTAAGTAATCGTAGTACTTCCGCTTTTCGGCCTCATATAGATCCGCAACTGTGTTCGCCACCTTTTCATCATTGTAGCAGCTATTTGGAGGTGCTTCCAAGATATTGCCCTTGACGTACCACTTATGGCCGGAAAAGTGGTTCTTAACCCGGTAGCGCATACCCGCCCCACTGTAAACGGGCTTTCGGAACAGGTCGTACATATTCTTTTGCCCATATTTTCGGTGAATTCGATCTAGTGTATCGTCCAACTGATCCTTTGTCGCGTAGTACATGTACCACAGCTTCCGACGGGGAGCTCGAACATCAGTAAGACTGAGGATTCCAAAATACTCCACTTCCTTGGGATCGTACTCATTTCTAGCATAGACTTTCGGCTTTAGGATATAGAATGCCCTTCGCATATATGTCTCAAGTCGCATTTCCAAGTCTGGATACGCAGCTGCAAGTAAGAATTATTAATATTCAACTGGAATCACAATTCAAATTCAACTTACAGTTGGGAGTGTCAATAGTTCCTTCCATAGATGTTGATGTTGTCATTCACTCTTGAAACGAATTAAAGAAGGTTCTTCCCTGGCCCGCTTTTATAATACCAACTCGTTTAAGCTTCGGTGAAGCTTTACCATTTCGCCACGAACTAAGAGCTTTACAGTCGACAGGAAAAAAGAGATGATAAATCGACAATACACTATAAATTTGATTAAGTTTAAATTTTAATTATTATTTTTTATTTATTTTTTATTATTATTTACTTTAAAAAAAATACACCTATATTAAGATTTTTTTGATTAAAAAATTAATCACCTTACACTGAAGGTTTTCATCATGTAGCAACAAAAATATATATTATTTATATGGATTGGATAATTTCTCAAGTCGCATATATATTATTCATATGGATTGGATAAATTCTATTTGTTTAAATAATAATCCAAATATTAAATATGTAATATACACTTAGAAACGCACACATAAATTCTACATTATCCATTTATTTCCCGAAATACATATTACACAATGGTGCGAATGGTTTAACAAATTCTTCATTATAGAATTACCAAATTCTGGTCTTGCGTTCAACGAAACAATTAATTATTAGCTTTTAACTTTGTTAAAGTAACTTAAAATACTTTCAATATAATTCAAGATTTGCTGTGTCGTTATGTAATCGCCTCAATGCAGTCATCTAGTTCACCCTTGATTTCCGCCTCCATGGGTGCCACCACGTTGTTTGAGTCGGGCAGAATGCTCTCCTCCATATGCGGGGCTTGATTAATTATAAACACATTCGGGTTGGCCGTACAAGTTAAGCTTGGTGCCGCTATAGTTCCTGAGCTAGCGCTGCGAGCTGCGCCCGGAAATGGTTTTAGAGGCGGCGGGCCTCGCAAAGCTTGCGTCTTACTGGCCGGCCCTTGGTTAGCAGGGTCTCTGGTAGCCGGGCCTTGGATAGAAGGCCCCCGGTTAGCAGCAGGTGGTTCTGCCTTGCTGCCCACAGTCTTTTTTGTTGGCTTGGCTTTGGATCCAGGCTTAATCGCAATAATACTTCCTTTTGCTGCCGATTTCTGTGCCGGAGACTTCAATTTGAGCATCTAAAGAAGCGAGAATGAATTATTATTATTTAATTAATAACTGGCCATTCACGTACCTGTCGTTGACATTCCTTTACGGATTTTCTGTCCATTTCCACAAATCGAGATCCTGCGCTCGCAGCCGCAGCCGCTGACGATGTAGATGCAGCCAGCGGAGTGCTGGTGGGCGGGGGAGCAGGACCAGGAGCTACATTTCGTCCGGGAGTCGAAACAGCGGATTTAACATTCGGGGATGTGACGGACTTGAAACCAATGATATTCTTTTGCACATCAAACACGGGCTTTTTGATCACTCTTGTGTCTGGTTGCGGCGAGGCAGTGGGTGTCCCAGAGCTCACGATGTTTTGAGATAATGATGGATTGCTGCTGGTTGCGACGCTTGGTGGGATCTGGGCCACAATGGGAGTTGCTGGAGAAATCCCGGATCTTGCTCGAACCTCTGGCGGGATTGAAGGCACTGGAGTGCTGCTGGTGGCCTTGTTCAGGTAGTGCACATAGTTCTCCAGCAGTTTGGTGCCCACATCTACATCGATTGGCATTAAGGTGCTGGTTGTCACAATTTCCTCGATGGTGCGCTGTCGCTCGGCAACCGTTAAATTGGCTACTCGCCGACTAAGAGCTTGAAGAACCAAATCAAACACCTGAACCTTCGCCTGTAGCTCTGTTCGCTGCTGGTCCGTTGGGCAGAGTGACGGCAATTGGATGAGTGACAGCGGCAGACTAGCCGCTATTGAGTCGCTGGCCGTTGGTGGTCCTGATGCCCCAGGAGGATGAACCTTCTTGGTCAGTGTTGTTCCGCGGGGCAACTGCTTGGTCAGCGAGTCGATGGATGACGCAGGAACAGGTGTATGTGTACTGGAGGATGCTGCAGTTGGTGGGGCAGATGGAAGCGGCAAGCTCTGTTGAGGGGGAGGAGCTGAAGGCACACTCTGCGGTGTCGGATCGGACAATGCCGAAGCAGTCAAAGCCGGAGGATCACTGGAACTTAGCTCCTTATCTTTGCCCAGCAGCTCCAGCTTCGCTCGTACCTTATTCGGGATATTCTTGTCCGCCTTGGAGATGAACTTTGTAGTGATGACTAGAAACTGCGGCATTTCCAGTACTGGCGCCTCGACCTTGGCATGAAGGCGCGTCGGATCAATGGCCGCCATTGGTCCCTCCAGATTGGGGCAGCAAAAATCGAGGCCCACTTCGCCGTAATTTCCAGAATGGCGATTCGGGTAAAGGAACGAAAACATCTTAGTGTGGCCAAACGAGTTTGCGTTACTGCCGGGGGCGCTTGCCGATGGAATATCAATTGGAGCAGGACGGTCGACAGGACTAGGGGCACTTATGACACTGATGACTTGGCGTGAGGAGGCGGCCACCGTCGGTGTACTCTCTGCGAACAGTGGTGCTTGCGGTATAGGTGCAGGTGCAATAACTTGGGGCTGTGCCTCTTGAAAATCCACTTCCATGGGCTGCGGCGGATCATCTTCTGGCTCTGATTTCACTTCCGCCACTGCGATGGGTACTGGTAGTGGCATTGGTAGGGTGGTATTCATCTGAACGTTCCTTAAAGCGGTAAGCCTCCTGGCATTCTCCAAATCATTCACTTCGTCAGGCTCTTTTGCTTCAGCCATCGGGGGAATATCCGGTGTTTTTACTGCTATCGTAGCTGGCACGGGTGCAGAAAGGGAAGGAGGTACCGAAGCAGGTGGTGCCTGAGGAGGTGATGCCGGAGCAGTTGGTACAGGAGCCAGTAGTACAGGAGCAGGAGGTTCAGGATCAGGTGGTATCGGAGCAGAGGTTACCGAATCCTCTTCAAGAATTGTTTGGTCTGCAGCTTCTTCTGCAACAACCCGAGGGACCACAAGACCTTGAATCGGCACCAATGGGGGTACTGGACGCATCAAAACAGCTGTTGGCGGTTCTGTACGAGAACAATTGATCGATCCTGTCATTGATTCCGCCGCCGACTCTGTGTCAGAAGCCACATCGTCTGCAGGCGCAGGTGCTTCTCGAGGCAATGCCTGCTTCTTGGCCCGTTGGTCCTTCAGCCATTGGGTGACAACATGCCGATTGATTTTAATGCGAAGTTTGCGATGCTTTACTTCCTGGACTGGTGGGTTCGGCACGGCTTGTTTTTGGGAAGCTGGCTTTGAGCTTGTTAGTGGATCTACTTGCTTAGCCAAACCGGCAGCTGTTATCTTCACTGGAAATGCCATGAACCGACTTTCCTGGTCAGGACCTTCTTGTAACTGCTGTTGCTCCTCTTTGGCTCGCTTAGAATCGCTCGCTTCCGCTGCATCAACAGCCTTTCTTTTTGGAGCAGGTGCTCGCGCGAATCGCCCTTTTTTACGCCTTACCTGTCCCAATGACCGTGTGGGCTCTGGTCGCGTTTGAGTTGATGATAAAGACAGACTTTCTTTGGAAGCAGTCCGTTGTTCTTCTTTCTTAGGAATTGGTGTTGGAGCCAGGGATCTGCTGCTGCTGGCAGCTCGGGTCATGTGCATCGACTTGGCAAGGTTTACGGTGCGCGGAGTCACGGCCACTGTAGGTTTCTCCATGCGAGGTGTGGCACTAGACTCTTTGCTCTGCTCCCCTATGGCTTTATTTGCTGTCTCGCGACCCTTGACCACTGCTACTTCCTCGGCGACTGGAGCATCCGCAGATTCCAAGGACTTGGCAATTTCTGCAGATTTTTGGGGCTCTGATTCCTTAACCACACTTCCCAGCACCTTTCGAGTAAGTGAAGTTCCCTCAGATTTTCGGGTCTCAATTTTCCTGGAACCATCCGCTTTTAGTGGAGCCTTGCGAGAGTTCGATGATTGACCCTCCGACTTTCTGGTTTCTGTCTTCTTTGGCGTCTCCACTTGGATCGACTTTCTGGCAGGCACAGCTGGAGAATCAATTTTCTTTGCTGAATTGTCAACAGCCAATGCCGATTTTGGAATCACTTTCGGTTTGTTTTTATCCATGGACAATAAAGTTGGAGTCTCTGGTTCCGGCCCCTGTTGGTCATCCTTCTTTTTGGCCTCGGATTTTCGGGAGGTCTTTTGTGTCTCCACCAACTGTACTTTTCGGGGCAAAACTGGTGATGTCTCCAGAGATTTATTCAAGGAAGTATTTGCTAAATTGTCCTTCGAAGGTACCAGTGAAACCGATATATTCACCTTTCTGTGAGATATCGACGCCGATTTATCTTCTTTGGTGGGAGATTCATTTTTCTTACTGGCTGGCAGCACGGTTTTCTTTGTAAGTACAAGGGAGCTGTTGAGGGTCAGCTGGCTCTTGGCCTTGCTCCCCTCGACTTCAGCCTTGGCCAGAGACTTTCTGCCTGGAACACCCGAACCCGATGCCGAATTCTGAGTCGAAGCCGAAGTCGAACTCTCTTCCGGCAAGGGCTTACGGAGATTGAGAGTGGAACTCAGCAAGGTCTGTACCAAAGGCCTCTTTGTCGGGCTTACTAGTGGCTTGTTATCGACCGGTTTTTTGCCTGGTATGTTAACAGTTTTCGTGATCTCCGCGTAGTTGGGTCCTTTCGCTGCGGCACCAGTCCTCTTTGCCGCTTGCGATGTCTGGGGCTGCTCACTTCTTATTTCATTTAATGGAGTCATGATGGTTTCATTGCCTATCATAGATATTTTCTTGCCCCTCTCACTGGGCTTCGAAACCGCAGGAGCAGTTTTCGCGCGTTTGAGGGCTGGATGGTCCTTTTCTCCCGCTTGATAACGGCGGCGTGCTGTAATAAGTTTAAAGAATCTTAACGATGCTCAGGATTATGATTTAAGTACTCACCATTTTTAAGAAGTTCCCTTCTTTTCTCAACGCTCGACTTCGCCGCAATGCTCAGCTTTAGTTTGGCAGCGTCTAAATGAGAAAAATCGGATTAAAGAACAAAAACAGAAAAAGCATACATTAGAAATATTGCTAGAGGGAAAATAAAATCAAATAAATGTAAAGATTGGGCTATCTATTAACCATCTGGCTCTGTGGAATCCGCTTCCCGCTTGCGCATACTGCGCTTCACCCTGCTGCTTGTGCTGGCTTCGGGGGCGACGACGGTGACACCTGTTGTTTCTGTTTCCTGTGGATCAGGAGTTGGGCTTGCAGAGGATTCAGCTGGAGAATTTTCGGGTTCGTCGGTGGGGATCTCCTTGGCTAATGAGTCTGGATCTGTGCTGTTCTCCGTAAGCGGTTCTTCTGAAGGTTCTAAATCTTCTTTTGCGCATTCATCTCCAGGGGCTTCTTCATCGTTAAGAGTTTCCTCGTCCAAGTGAGTTTCCACATCTATGGATGTTTCCCCGTCTTCAAGAGTTTCTTTGCCTTTAGAAGTATCCTCGACTTGACAAGCTTCCTCCACTTCGTGGGCTTCCTCCTTTTCGTGGATTTCCTGCTCTTCGTGGCTTTCCTTCCTAGGGATATCCTCTTTTAACAGTTCATCCGTGCCTGATGGATTATGGGTTTCGTTCTCGTTGTTCTGCACAACAGAAGCGTCTGTAGTTGTGGCATTGTCAGTAGAATTCTCAGAGACTGTTTCATCGGGTTTGTCAATATCTTGCTCCTGAGATATATTTTCTAGGTTCTCCAGAATTTCAATCACTTTTTTTGGCGCTGTCTTCATAGGAACTTCTTCTATAACATCATCCATCGCTTTATTAGGAATATTGTTTAAAACGTCGCATGTCGATTCGTCTGTTGCTTCCTTAGAAACTCTTCCTTCAACAGGATCGGGCACGGAATCAGATTCGCAGACTGGCTGGGACTTCGAGTTAGGCATATTTTGAGTAACGACCAGATCAGAGACTGTACCTTCTTCTATGCTCTCTAGCATCTTATTTAAATTCTTTCGCTTATTTGAAGTCCCCTTTCGGCCGACAAATGAACCTTTACTGATCAAATTGGTAGTAGGAGTTCTTTTAACCAGAACACGAAGCTTGCGACAGTACAGTGAAGTACTGGGAGTCTTTGGCATGACTTTTGATTCACTAGCCTCTGCGGAGGCATTATCTTTGAGTTTTGAAGGACTATGGAGGCTAGTGTTTTTTGCATCCGTTTGGGCAGATTCCACTGTCGCTGGATTTTGAGAGGTAGGTTCCAATGGAGTTGTTATCGGAACTGATTCTTTAGAGACTGTGGCTGAAGCTGAGATCGGTGCTGTAGCTTTACGTTTGTTTTTCTTTGATTTTCCCTGGGCTCCAGAGGCTACCGCTTCTTTTCCAGATTCCTCACTAGTAGTCGGTGGTGGTATAGGCTCTGTTTCCAGCATCTTTTCGCTTTTTGAGGTTGGCGATTTGTTTCTGTCTCCTGCTTTTATTGGTGTTTTCGCCGCGGTTCCGGCGCCATCCAGAATGGTGGACAATGGTACCGTTTCGGAGGGCGAATCTATTTGTTCGTATTCAGAGTCGTCAACGGAAACAGCTTGCCTGCGTTTTCTAGTCCCTCTACGTTTAACTCCTGACACGCTGGCTTTATCTTTTACTTCAGCCGTCTCAGCCTTAGAAGGGGATAGCGGCAACATTTTACCGGAGGACATAGGTTCAATGGTTACCGTTTCAACATTCACATCTTCACCAGATTTAGTGTTGATGTTCTCTTTGGGTTTGTTATCTCCTTTGCTTTTACCTTTTGTTGGCTTTACTTTTGCAATAGGATCCTGATCATCGCTGTTGGAAACTGCTTTACTATCCGTCGTCGGATTCATTTTTCTTGACCTGGATTTTGTCAATTGCTTTTCAGGCTCCGTTTCTGTTTGATCTGAGCTGTCGTCCACTCGAATGTCGCTCACAAATTTACCCTTACGATTTTTTCCCCGTAAGGAAGTCTCACTTTTAGATTTGATACTTCTGTCCTTAGAACTTTCCTTCTCTTCAGCTTTATCATATTTGGATGGTGTCTTTCTTCTGCCCCTGGAGGAATGAGGGTTGGCAGGAGTTGGTGATGACTCCGTTTCTCCGCGGCTGACTTTACTTGGTTCCCTTTTGCTTGCGGAATCGCTTCCCCTCCTGCTCGTCCTCAATTGAATTTTCTCCCTTTCGACTTCTGAACTTTCGGTGGCAGAATTGCTTTCCAGTTTGTCTAGTTCCCACCGCGATCTGCGAGACCTAGACTTTCTTGAACTGGACGGTTTTTGATCAATTTTTTCCGAGTCAGAATTTTCCACTTGGGATTCGCTTACTTTTGATTGGTCTGCGGGCAACTCCGAAGTATTATCAGCTTCATTATCTACTGGCTCATTCTTTTGCTCTGGTTCCGTGGATCCCGGTTGCTCGTTAATTAATTTAGAAGTCTGTGGAAATTCTTCGGTAGGTTTGGCTATAACTTTCTTATTTTTGCCTCTTTTCTTTAAGGGCTTCCCCTTATTCTCATCAGTCTCATCAGAACTTGGCTTTTCTTCAGCCAAAACTGTACTATCTGTCATTGGTACATCTATCACTGGGTTGCTGGCTTCCACCACAATCTCATCCTTCGGCTCAATCTCAACTGTAGTCGATTTATTCTCCTTAATGGAAATTTCGTTTGCCAACTTGGAGCGTTCCTGGGAGGAATGGCTTTCAGCTGGCGACCTTCCTAACCTTGGACTGCTACGCCTTGAATCATCTTTGAGTAGAGTAAGTTCACTTTTTAGGGACAGTTTGCCACGGCTCTTGCGTGATGTGTGCTTAATTGGAGTGGTCTCCGGGGTTTCCTCTTTTGATTCTGGTTTATCCGATCGAAGAGTTCTGCGGGCAGCCGAACTTCCCATAGCTTCTTCCAAATCCTTAAATTTAGCTGGTGAGGAGGGATTTGACTTCTTAGTTGGAGTATCGAATCTCGAGGGATTTTCGGTATCTGTCAAAGACTCTTTTTTGGATACCTGACCCTCAATAACAGGAGATTTCACCTCTGTTTCCGGATTGTCTTGATCAATGAAGGATCCTTGAACTTCGGCATATCCGGTAGCTGTCGGTTGCGATTTTTCCAAAGACTGTTCATCATTTGTAGGTGGACATTTACGGGCGCCTTTAGCTGGAGATTGACTCTTAAACGGGGATTGCTTCACAGTGAAAAGTCCCTTAGCAAGAGATTGTTCTTTAGCTGGGAATTGTGTTTTAGCTGGGGATTGTCCTTTAGCTGGGGATTGACATTTATCTGGGGATTGACATTTAGCTGGAGATTTCTCTTTAATTGGGGATTTCTCCCTAGTTTCGTATAGTTCTTTAGGTGAAGATGGCTCTTCAGAGCTACCAACAACCTCCGTTATAGTCTCCTGCTCCAATTCCTTGACAATATCAATTACAGGATTTTGATCGCCAACTACTGTTGCCGTGTCAGCCTCAGAGACTTCAATGCCTTTGCCCACTTCAGCAGCTAAGATCTCTTCCGCCAATTTAATATCCTCAGCTAGCTGAGAATCACTCTCCTCCAGAATATGTCCTGCTACTGGCGTAGCCTGCACATTGGCAGAGGCATCCAAAGCATCGGCGAGTTCGGGCGTCATCGCAATTTCCCCCGCAGTTTCAATAGCATTTTCTATTTCCTCCAGGTACTTTATGGCCATAGCATCATTGCTATGATCGTCCTGAGTTTTCTCTGGTTGTGGTTGAGTCTCGTTATTGTCTGGTTTTTTAAGCCGGGTTACACTTTCGGTTATTTCGCCGGTATCCATAGCGGTGTCAAACGATTCGGTTGATGTGTCCACTATAGGGTGTGGTTCCTTTTTGAGATTCCGAGCAGCTTCTTCATCTGAGGCAGAGTTCTTGTCTAGGGCACTTTTGAGATCCGTTTCTTGGTGGCATAATGACTTTCTAATATCGTCTTTGGGTGCAAATCCTGCAAACTCTTTGGCTTTCTCTAACTCTGAATTTAATACAGCCTCCTGCTGTCCCTGCAAATCCTGCTTCTTGATTGCTTCTAATGCGCTCTTTTCCACTGAAACCTCCTGATCTTTGGCCAGTTCCAGAACACTTTCTGTGCTTTTTGCATTTTCCAGTGTCTTCGGATTGTATTGATTTTTACGGGGTCTGCCTCGTTTTTTCTTGACCGGCACTTGGACTTCTCCGTCTCCTTCCTTGGCACTACTGAGCACATTATCCTCCGTAGTCGCAGCTCGCGTCTTCCGCTCCTTTTCTCCTTTGGAGCTTCCACGCTTCGGAAATGCTGACTCACTCTTTGACCTTCGCAATTCGGTGCCAAATGGTTCGCAGCCATTGTCAAGCCGTTCGCTGGAGTAAGTGAGCTTGCGGACGTGACCAGATACCATATTGGAGGCGGTTCCCGGCTCCCCAGAGATTTTGGACCTAGATCTGCTGCGATGCTTAGAGCCGGAGCGCTTTTGATACTCGACCGAGCGTTCTACATCGATCTCCAATATCTGCTCAGCCAGGTCCTGAGTCATACGCTGCAGCGTCTCTAAAGTAAGGCCATCATCCACTTCAAACAATTTTCGACTGGCACTGGCACTGGATTTTTCCTCCAAGGAGTTTGTGCTGCGCCCTGCAGATTTAGTAGGTGAGGAGTGTGAGCTGCCGCTGGCCTTTGTTGACTCACGATCCTGGTCGCGCTCCTTTTCCTTCTCCTCCTGCACTTTGCCACTGGCTGCGAAACAGAAAGCAGAAAAAGTTACAAATGTAAGGGTGTGGCGGGAAATGGGATCAAGGGGGCGGTCATGATTAAGGAATGCTCGCCCCAATGGATGTCGATGCACACTTACCCGCTGATCGCTCTTTTGCATGCTTAACCTGTTCGGAGGAAGATGGTTTCTTTTCGGAGGAACGGGATTTTTTAGCAAAACTCTGTTTCTTATAAATCGGTGGCGCCTCAGCGCAACTGAGATTATTCAAATAGGACTGCAAGCGCTCACTGACGCTGTTCAATATCGACGACTGACTCCTCTCTTTCTGCCCATTCTGCTCATTCTCCTCATCCTGCTCCCGCTGCGGCTCCTGGCCATCGTCGTCGGAAACAACAGGTGTCACAGTGTCTACACGGTTTGTGTTTTTACATATTATAAATATTATCAGAGGGTTGGCAGTATCAACTAGTCATTAACTTTGACTTACCCGCCACCGACGTGGTCCGGCTCGTGTCCGTTGATATGTCAATGACAGGCTCGGCGTCATCATCCGCAGAGTCGTGATCGTCGAAGAAGTCAGACTCGTATGTGTACGACGAATCGCTGTCGGTATCCTCAAAGAACTCTGTAAGATCTGTAAACGTAAATTAGCATTAAAAAAAAATTACAAAAACCATTAAATTCCAAGACACTTACTTAAGGGGTCCGTTTTTGGCTCATGCTTTGGCGGCTTCAGGTCTGTCTTCTGGGCCTTCAAGATGGTTACCGCCTTTCCCTTACCGGCGTTGCTACTCCCGTTCACAGAGTTCGGCTTGCTCGGATTCTTGTACTTTCCAGTAAGACTAGAAACAGCAGCAGCGGCACCCTTGCCGGACGACGAGGCCACCGCCGGCTTCGACCTTCTGTTGGATGACTTTCCGCGGTCGCTGCTGTTGCTGCTGCTGCTGCTCCTGTATAAAGCATCACTGTGTGACTTTCTCGCTCTCGCCTGCGAAGTGCTGGACTTGGGTACAGTCAATCGCTGGGTTGAACGCATTAGTGCTTGGCCTGTGGATAAATCCCAAAAAAAAACATACAAGGATGCGGAAAAATTTACATTTGGTCGAACTTACCCAAGTCGTCCACGGAATCAAACGACGAGAAGCGTTCCCGACGCTTGGTTGGCTTCGTTTTGAGCTTCCGGTTGAACAGTGCGTCCAGAGCGTCATTGGAGTCATCGCTGGAGGAAGGGGAACGGTGACGCCTGCTGTGTGACTTAGAGCCTGTGCCTTCGTGGAGATTAAGCAGTTCGTCGTCCACGGACTTGTCTAGAAACAGCTTTTGGAAGATGTCCGCATCGAGGGAAGACGAGTTGCTAGAGTCTGACGAAATTCGACGCCGCCGGGCGCCGCCAGACTGCCGCACATCGCCGATTTTTATTCCTGCAAACACACGGATTGCACTCATTACAAACCAAACTATTCTGTTGCCCTTCAGAGCGTTCGTGTAGACAGCAATCACGCACCTGGCAGCACCAAGTCTTTGTACTCGTCGAGATATTCTATGTCTTCCATGTTATACTTTTCATGTGCGTCGTCCCGAAAGTACTCCCTGCGCTGCGTCTCACTCTCATCAATAAAAGTTGGGCGAACAATGCAAAACTAATTCCGGAGTCGAGACGATTCGAAAATTCTTATTAAGCGTGCCCAAGCCGCCGTTTGCTTCCTTTTTTACCGAAAAAAATCCTTAAAAGCAAAAACGCTGTAACGTGAACGTAGTGCAATTCGGCAAAAACGGCGACGCGTTTTCCCGGGCTTTGGTGTGTGCAGCTGTCAGTGGTGAAAATGGTTTAATGGATTTAAACAACGCGTTAACTACTGTGAAGTATTGACAGATTGTTTGGATCTTTTCTTATCTCTTCTTTTTTATTTATTTACTAATTCACTTGGTTTATTGTTTGGACGACGCCACGAAAATTGCGCGTTCCCCGGCAAAAAAATCTAAAAATACACCTTATCCAGGGCAGCAACCAATCTTGTTATCGATATTTACAACTTATCGGAACTGGCTTGATTTTCCATGTTAAAATGTATTAAAAATGAAAGTCCATTTAATACAGAATTTTAAATATACCCAGTAGAAAATTTAAATTCCTTGTAGTTAAATAGTGGAAATATTGAAAAAATAGTCCTCAGATATTTATACGCTTGCAGGATACAAAATTTTAGTCACAAGCTAGTAACCCTGTCACGGAGTCATTTCCGACCCTACAAACCATATATATTCTTAATCAGCATCAAAAGCCCAGTCATTCTGGAAATGTTTATGAAGAAAAAAATTACCAAATTTTTTTAAATGTTTTAAGAGGTTACATCGTTAAAATTATCAAAAATTGCAAGCAAAAAGTAATTTTTTTAAATTTGAAATTGTGCGCAGATTTATTAAGCTTCAAAAAACTAACATAGAAAAGCTTTCTGAATTGAAATTAAATTAAATTGGCTAGTTATGCGTTTTTTAAGCTATGATATGTCGAAAAAATTGTCATATAAAAATAACAATAAATATTCATTTGAAGAATGGTAATGTTTTAAGCTTAGTTATAATTAATTTACGATTTTTATAAAACGAAATATACAAATTAAATGACATTGATCTATAATTTCTTAAAACACTTTCAAAATCTCTCCCCATAAAACCCTCAAAATTGTATTACCAAATATACTCATTTTTGTACATATATCGATTATGCTAGAGGCAAAGTTTATCCGGCAATTAAAATTGCCAATTATTTACACCAGTCGCATTGTAAATATTCTTGTCTTGACACTATTATTTTCTTACGTTTATTAATTTTAAGTAATACATTTTATAGTTAAATTTATATTTTTCCGCAGATTATATATGCTCCGATAGTGAACGCCCAACTGTCATCTTTAGAGTCCGTCTAAAGAACACATTTTGCAGCCCTGACGTACGAAACGTCGTGCTATAGACCACCACTAACGTGACGTGGAACGAAAAAAAACGAAGCGATACGAAGCCGAGCCGACGTCAGATTCATATTGCTATTTCACCGCTCACATTTTCCAGGTCATCAATCGCAGTCGGTCCCGAGACAAAAAGATCAAAATGGTGAGTTAAACTGGCTCAGCTTTGAAGCAATTAGCCTAATCCGGACTCCCAACAGCCCGCTCCTGCAAGTTCAACGTCCGTGGGCAGCGGATCCCGCTCGCCCAGCAAGCTGACGGCGCCACGTAGCGCTGGAGCTGGGGGCGGAAGCACGCTGAAGCAGCGCAAGACCACCAGCAGCACCACGGCGGCCAGGAGTCGCGCGCCCGGCGGAGCCGGAACGGGTGGCATGTGGCGCTTCTACACCGACGACTCCCCCGGCATCAAGGTGTAAGTGTTGGAGCCTGAGCCGCTAGGCTGTATTTATAGACTCTTAATTATGACACTACTTTTCCCCCCTAATCCCGCAGTGGTCCCGTGCCCGTCCTGGTCATGTCGCTGTTGTTCATTGCTTCCGTCTTCATGCTGCACATCTGGGGCAAATACAATCGTTCTTAAGCCATTTCATTCGTAGCAAATAAATACTTTCACCTCAACGAACGTGAACAGTGTCGACGTCATCATTTCTTTCGCGGCGACGGCGATAACAAGAGCAGCAACAACAACAACAACATGAGAAGTAAGCATTCCGCTTGTTGAGGCATCGGTGTGTTTTCCACATGAAATTAATTATACCTTAAGCATAAGTTAAAAACCTGCGTAAACGTACATTTTTTCAAAATTTCGTCGTAACTTTCCTGTCCGCCAAATCCTGTGAAAATGAGTGCTTTTCGCGGGCTGAGAATTCATTCCACAATTTATCGTGGTCATGTGCATTAGAGATTCCGCGCGCAGCCGTTGCAATTCAAAACTTTGTAAGAAGACATTAAAAGAAAAGTGTTAAGAACAAAATAAATTTTGTATTAAATTTAACATTTGGCTTGGTGTGTGTGTGTGTCGGGGGTGAAGCCACAACAATTAGAGGCACTGTATGCATGTCTCGCCCATAAAGTGAAGTTCCTTAAAGTATTTTCGGCGGTGATTGCATCTTCGTTCCCTGTGATTCTGTTTGCCACAGATAAGGCAGCCCTTTGTGTGCTTCGGCTTGCTTTTCCGGAACTTTAAGCAACTGGTTTCAATGTGCCCCTTCTCACCGCACAGCCAGCAATGCTGTTTGCTTTGATAAAAGGCGCAGGTGTGCCCCTCCCGTTGCGTGCATCTCCTGCAACTGGAGCAGTGCACATAATTGGGCTTAACACAGGTATCGCAGTGATCACAGTGCCTGTATGTCTGGCCATTAACCGAGGGACATGCCCCGCAGCGACTACAGTGAAGATTCTCCTTGGCCGTGTAGCAATCGCACTCTTCGCAGTATTTGTAGCCCTCTTCCAAAGGCAAATGAAGTAATCGAAGTGGCACATTGGTAAACACCCGCACGGGTGAGCCACAAAACCGACTCTGCCTGCCCACGTTCGTGTAGCGCAAGTGATTCGTATAGTTTATCCTGTAATCGCACATCTCCATCTCCGGCATTTCCTGCTTTATGTGATTGGCCGAGTAGTAGGGATAAATCCAGAACACGGGCAGTGGAGTTGAGGGAAGTTGGTTGATTCGGTTGTGGAGCCTTCTCAAGGAGCGTAGGGTATGGGAAATCAGCTCAGTGCGACAGCCAAAAGGAGGATCGGTCACAATTAACAGGTGATCTGAGCTGGAATTTTACATCTTTTTAATAAGGGTTATATTTTCTTGAGGTTAAAAACTTACCTGGAGCAATCTAGGAACTTTTCAAATGGTTTTCGATTGTAGAAGAAGTGATTGTTGCACATGTTGTATAGGCAGAACTCTAGTGGTCCCAGATATCTAGCAAATCTCTCATCCAAGTCCAGAAGAAAACTTTTGAGTTTGTGGCGCAAATGGAAGTGTAGGCGCGGTGCTCCCATGCAAACTACCTTGCTGATATTGGAAAGTTAGTTATAAACTCAATTAGTAAGATGTTTCACTGACGTTACTCCCAAAACTCTGCACTGTTCCGCAAGAAAATTCACAGCAGCTTCGTCAAAGAAGTATTGGGCGTTCACTTTGTCCTGGGAAAGAGCAGTTAGGCTTAATGTGGGATCCGGAAGATGAACATGAGTTTCTGTTCCTGCTAATGAGGGATAGTCTCTTTCTACAGGTTCAGTCCCAGAACCCTGACCGCTCCACTGTTCCGCTGGCAGGTGAAAATTGCAAAGTTTCGAGTCCCGGTGAGCGGAGCAGGCATAAAATCCCTGCCCGGGTAGCTGGGATTCGCGGTAGAACAAGACAGTGGGTCCATGCTCGCAGCGGGGATGTTGCTCGCCGGTTTCGGCATTTTCGTCCTCTGCCTGGATCAGTAATTTATCGCTTTTACATTCAAACATGTTTCGAAACAAATATTTTGACGAAAAAAACAACAGTTGGCGCTGCCACCTCGCGGTCACATTTGCGGAGCTGCCAACTTTCCTTTATTCGATTTGTGATCGATTCAAATGTGACCAGAAGCAAAATATATAAAAAAAAATCAAAGAAATATATCGATATATTGGCATTTTAGTATGTTTTTAACAACCAACAACGACCTGACACCCGGCAGCCGACAGCGAACGACAAAGAATTCTGTTAATTTATATCCACCCTACAGCCAATAAGAGAGAGTTATGCTAATTTAGATCTGTTAATGAATTCTACTTCTTACATGAGAATTCTACATGAATCTTCAAAAGGGTAAAATGTTATGTAGTCGTCTAAAATGTTAAATGACAGATTCCGAATAAATATATTGATCATTGGTATTCTTATATATTTTCGACAACACAAAAACGACCGACACCCGATAGCACCCGAGTTCTGTTAACTAACGTCCACCCGACAGCCAACGAGAGAGATTTCTATTAGTGAGAGCAGGTCTGGTAATGAATTTTACTTCTTACATGAGAATTCTATCCAAATAACGAGAGTTCTGTAAACGTGTAAAATGTTATCTAGACGTATACAAGGTAAAATTTTAAGTAACAGCATCGGAATTCAGAGTGACCAAAAGAAAAATATCAAAATAAAATCGATATTTTGGCAAAGAAAATATCAAATACATATATACATCTGGACAATCCTATATATACAAGCAACGATTGAAATTTTTCTTCTTTTAAAAAATAAATTTGGAGACGTCACTTCGGTGTTTAAAAAAAATGATAAGCGTGAAGCAAAGCCTTATTAGCTGTCTATATTTTAAAGTAAAGAAAAGTTAATAAACATTATGGATGCAGCCGGAATTAATTGATTAAAAAGGGTAAGCGAATAAAAGGTTGCATGTTTTTTTTCTGAATTTGATGAATGTTCTTTTTCTGAAGAGTCGAGTGCCGGGTCGCAAGATTTGACACTCTTTTCCTGTAGAAAGAATAAGAACGGCCAACTGATTAAATATATTAACTAAAATGCATTTTTATGTGCACTTTAAAAGGCAAAGAATTAACCTTTAAATTTCATTTGTTGCAGATGTGAAAAGCACGTGGCGAGACCTCGGACTAAGAGTGCCGGTATGTATATGTGTGTGTTTTCTTTGTGTGTGTGTGTGTAAATTTTCTTCTGATGATAAGTTCAATCTGAACAAAGTATTGTTGATTTATAACTTAAAATTAAACCAAAAGGATTCTGAGAAACAATTTACACATAATGAATATAGAAATATAAACAAGAAATTAAACCAAGAATTTTCTATTTTGTTATAGCTTTTCAAATGGAAATGGAATTACTTCTGAGAAGCAACCACGGAAAGAATTAGAATTAGGTAAGCAAAGTTTAAATTAAATTAAAATGAAGCTGATGATAAGTTCAATCTGAACAAACCGCTGTTGATTCACAACTTAAAAATAAACCAAAAGGATTCTGAGAAATAATTATTTTTCGTTATGATGCACTAAAAATATTTACTAGACATTAACGCTTACTTTTTTTTTTTTTTTTTTCTTATTTTTAGGTCTTCATTTATAAAAGACGCCCTCTTTGGGGTACAACGCTGGAATAATGTGAAATTACGTAAGTTTATTTTATTTTTAAATAATATTCCAACCTAAACTGATGATAAGTTCAATCTGAACAATGTGCTGTTGATTCACAACTTAAAATTAAACCAAAAGGATTCTGAAATCTTAAACAACAAAAATGTTATTTAATATAAATTTTAGCAGATAAGCTAACCTAGATTTCTTTATTTTTAGAAACATTTTCCGGTATGGGAGCTTGATTTAAATTTGAATTTTTCTATGCCATGTGGTAAGTTTACTCTTAATAATAAAAATCAAACCTAAAATTTAAGTGATGAAAGTAATTACCGTACGATTTCCGTGATTAAAAACCCCATGGCTGCAATTTTTGCAACTGATTTTTCTCCTTATTTTGACTAGATTTAATTATAGCTAGGCTTTTATTAATATTTCTTTTGTTTTAGGTGCTCCTCTTATGGAAGCTTATGGAATCTTAAAGAAACCCCGCAGAGCAAAAGAAGGTAGGAAAATATTCTTATTTGTTATAAATTAATTTTGTGATGACAGTAATTACCGTACGATTTCCGTGATTAAAAACCCCATGGCTGCAATTTTTGCAACTGAACTTAAAAAATACTTTTAATACTGCTAATTTATTGAAAATGTACTAATTTAAGTTTTTTGTACATTCTTTTTGTAGGTTTTGAAAGACACATTAATAAGGGCTCTTAAAGGTTATATCTTTTAAAGAATGGTAAGTATAGAATAAGAAGGCAATCTTACTTCGGGAAGCCGAAGCTTGTATACTCTTGCAGTTTGATATTGAATCAGGAAACTGAAATAAACCATAAATGTATTAATTTTCAACTCTAGTCTATATTAGGTTACAAAATCTGTATACTTAATTTTAAATTTATAAACAAGCTTCTAACTTAAATTATAGTTCGCTGCAAGGGTATAATAATTATTAATATTTTAATAACATGCTGCATTGTTTATATGATGAATACCTTTTATCTATTAACTTTCGTTCTACTGAGTAGAAAATGCGGAGAAATTGTTCTGATATATAAAACTAAAGCAGCATATTGTTAAGAAAAATGTCCATATTGATTTATATTGTTATTAGCAAAATTATTTTCTTTTCTTACAGATCTGAGATCTTGTGTTTCTTTTATCACCAATTCACATCAGAGCTTAAAGGTGCGTTTACATAACTTTTATTATTTAAAAAAATATTCTATGATGTTACTTCTAGTATAGTTCATTAGAATTACACATGTTACAAACTTTTTGAAGCTGATTCTCTTCTAAATTAAAATATCTTTCTCTATAAAGTAAAATTGTGCTAATGCTATAATTTGTATTATTGCAGATAGTATTTTAATTGGATTATCTTCCATTACGTTGATGCTGTCTTACTTATAAGGTAAGCCCTTGTTTTATGTGATCCGGTTTGTAAAGCGTCTGATGATATAATCCTAACTCAGGATTCCCTCTTCTGAGTAGAACCCTAAAACAACCGTGCTGTCCACTTATCCCTGTCTGATTATATTCAACGCATACAAAGCTTTTGATTGTCTTTATAACATATTGCTAACTCTAAATATCTTTATTTACAGGGGTCTACAACGATTGAGTCAAACGATAAAAAGCTCGATATTTGAAAATTTGCAGATAAAGGTAAATTGCAGATAAATTTGTAGTAATATTAATTTGAAAAGCGCTTGATCTGATGATATAATTCCTTACTCAGGATTCCCTCTTCTGAGTAGAACCCTAAAACAACCATGCTGTTCACTTTCCCTGTCTGAATTCCAGTGCTTTACGAAACTATTTTTATTTGAATTATGATCACTTGTGCTGGTTTATTTATACATATACTTTATTTACAGATAGTATACTGGAACCCTTTTCTAATTATTACCATAGTACTCTATTTAAAAGGTAAATATATTATTTCATATTAATTTATTTTATTTTAAATGATGAAAAATCCCTTAGTGGATTTTCATACTGAGATAAACGTAATGCTGTTGTTTAAATGTCTTCTTTCCCCAACTGATTTATCATTTCTTATAAGAACTCTTTGATTATTGAATGTTACAAAACTAATGGGAATTTATCTCTTCCATTTCAGTTTGTTGATCATATAGAAAGCTAATTAATGCAGATGAATCTAATATAAAGGTAAATACAAAGTAATTTCGCTTGAATATTAAATGGAAATGAGGAAAATTCGTCCGTAAATATTTAACTGAGATAAATCATGCGGTTTGACGATTCCCCACCTGATCCATTAATTTAAATAAAGAGCTTTTGTCTCATTTACTTATTAACAAGGAATTAATTGTTATTATTTATTCTTTTCAGATTGGCTTTGCAAAAGGAGATGTTTATTGCTACTTCATGAGATTTTTTTATAAATTTAACTTTGCCAAGGTAAATTAATACAGTTCTTGTTTCCTTATTTATTTATTTGAAATGAGGAAAATTCGTCCGTACATATTTAACTGAGATAGACCTTGCTGTTTGACGATTCCCCACCTGATCAAATCATTTTAAATATATCATTTGTGACCATTGTTTTGTGAATATTTAACTTATTCGTTTTTTGTTTCTTTTGTTTGCAGGTTGTGGCATTGTATTTTTGAAAAAAAAAAATAAATAAAAATCAATAAATAAAATTAAACTGAAAAATGCATTCAAATATATGTATACTTCTTGGGAGTAGAGGGGGAATAATAAAACACAATTTTAAATGTGTTTTGTAACAAACAAAAATTAATAAATTTTGGTTTAAAATACAATTTACAGCGCCATCTAGTGCCTATATTTAGACGCCATCTGGCGGACTCATTTAAGTTGGATGTCCCATACACAAGCTGGATACTGTGAAACTCGCATATAATTTGAAATGAAATATGTGAGATATATTTTAATTAATATTTTTAATACTTTTGCTTTTTGTAGCATTTACATTGATTGGCCTAAGAGTTTATATATATTGCACATTCTCTAAAATACATATTTTGGTTGCACTTCCGTGTTTATTTGCTTTTTTACGGACTACAAACATCCATTTATCATGCTGTAGTGCTGTCCACATAAGCGGAAGCTGTTTCACCGCTCGCAACATGCATGTCCTGCCAGCCGTAAGAACAGCAACAATAACAGGCAATAACAACCGGGGGATGTACATACGTATTAAGGAAGGAGCCCCAAGGAATGGGGAAAAGGGTGCCTCAACTATTTTCAACATTGTGCACACATTTCATTCATTGAGTGCAGCGCACGACGAGCATATTTACAACGAGCTACGACGATGACTACGACAGCGATGTGTGCGAGGCACTTTATGCGCTTTTATGCGATTTTATGGGGCATTTTAAATGACAGTTAGTTGGTTTTTTATTAAGTTGATAATTATCTGTGGAGTGTGGGTTTATGGCGGTGTGCAATCAAAACGCAATGAATTCAATTGAAAATTTTCCATTTCCCGTCCAAGCTCAAGTTATTTACAACTTCACTTGAGGCTTCACCAAAAGAAAGTTGGTGGCTTTTGAGGGGTTGCTTTGTGTGCAGTAAAAGAAAATTTCAATCTAGTTTAATTGATCAAATTAAATCAAGTATTTAAGCATAACTTATTTAAAACATTAATTAATTAATTAATTAATAATTCATTAAACTTGCTTTAGTCTTAGCTTAAGTTGTAAGTTCTTGAAATGAGTTATTCTGATTTAATTTACGATTTTTCTCACTGTATTTTTTTGGTGTCTCCGCTTCGAGGTTTTCCGGAATCTCTGGTGTCGTCGGACGCTGCCAAGTCGTCGAACTTTTTGCACTCGATATGTGATGACAAGGACATCGCTGCGCTTTTTCACTCCCGAGACTGATAAAGATAAGGCCAAGGAGCCTGTCGCCGCTGCTTGTCGAGTGGCTCCTGCAGGAAACTTTGCCTTTCTGCCTGTCTTGCCTCAGTTCCTCTTCCCCTTCCTGGCTTTCTTTTGGCTCTTTTGCCGCCGCCGCCCTTTTGACCCGGCCCCTCTGGCTTCGGTTTTTGTGGTTAAATGGAGGGAGGAACTAAGAGCCAGCTGGGCAAGTTGGCCAGCATTTCTGTGACAATTTATTTTCTATGCTTTGGCATTCGCTTTTCAACAAATCGAAAAACTATTAAATTGGGCTGAAAGCCAGCAAACGAACGCCAGAGAGAGAGACAGAGTCCAGCCAGGGAAGTAAAAACAAATGCAAAGGAAATGAGGATGGGAAGCCTAGACATTTATTTCCGCAAAATATTGAAGATCGTATGCCCTATTTGTGGAATAATTGGGATTTAAGAGTGGTTGAGGGGTGAGGTGGGGGGTCAAGTGATGAAAAAATAACACATTTTCTTTTTTGAATTTTTATAGATTTTTAGGTGAGGAGGTCAAGTCTCTTTCTCCATAAGTTTGCAATGGCTCATTGTATTCAGAATCTGCTTTTTAATTTGCTCGAAAGAATCATAGTTTCATCTCAAATCCTATTCCTTTCGCAGTAAATAAAAAACACTTTGAAAATTCCTCGCTTAGGGTTCATTCCACTATCTGTGTATCCTGCTCAGAGTATTAAAGGGCAAACTTTGGTCGCTTTCTGCCAGGACTTGCGCCATATAGTACGTAATGTCAGAGACTTCGCTTTGTTGACAGTCACGCGACTTTGCCATGCTTTGGCACATTTGATTTGGCTGCAACTTTTCACCTCGCAGCGGTTGGAACTGCCACGACATCAAGTTAATTGGATGGGAAAATCGAGGCAGGGAGGCCGGCAGGCATCTCTCCAGCGGAGGAGGTCACAGGGCTCGGTGATGACTGACTACAGTGTGTGTGTGTGTGTGTTTGTTGTGTGGCCAAGGCAACCGAGCCCCGATTACAATCTAAGCCTTGTGGACACACAGAGGAGACCGAATACATACATCGCACATGGCATTCAACAATTTTGAGGCAAGCAAACAGACATTAACACGTGAGCGCGGCTATCTGTGGGATCTCGGAGTATCGCAATCTCTGGATCTCAGAATCTGTGAATCCCCGAGAATGTGTGCTAGTTGGCACCTCCTCAAAACGACCGAATGAACAGCCTACGGAGCTATGGGTTTATATATACTTATGTATACACAGAGGATATCCAGCACTTTTCGGTTGACACTAAACTAATTAAAACTTTGGCAGACTCTGGGTTTCGGGTTGCGTTCCCTGCCCGGGCCAGTCCATATGGACTTGACTCGCCGGTTTATTGGCATAAATTACGCATTGAAATCACGTAAGTGTCGGGGGCAAAATTTAATCAGAGAGTGCGGCAGCTAAACAAGAATTAAATTTAGCAACATAACCAAATCAAAAAAGGGACCATACCCAGGCTCGTACTTCCCCTGACCCCGGTACATCCGTACATCCTTGTACAGGGATGTGGTCGCAGCACTGAACACGGAACACGGACATGAAGCACGGACCATTTCCCCCTGTGAACGGAGGAGCAAAAAATTTGCACACAAACTACGTGACTTCAATTCCTCAGTGTGGCTACCAAAAAAAAACAAAACCAAAAAAAAAAAACAGAAAAGGTAAAAAATAGAAGGCTCAGGGTGTGTGTATCTATGCGGTTAGCTTTCAATGGCCTTTGTTCGGCCCCGTGTACAACTTTTAATCCTGTGCACTTTTGTCAATGTCAGAGACGAGATAGACTCAGATTTAGATTCGGCCCAATGACCAAACAATACACAAAAAATGGTCTGCAAATGGTTTAAAGACGTGGTGACACCTCTTAATGTTACTTAATTATATTTATTATGACGTAATAAATACAAAATGAGATAAAGATTTGTAAGTTAAGATAAAATGGTAATATAAAATGTTGTTTTATATTATTAAAATTTTCAAAATATTATGCTTATAAATTCTGGTATTAATATGAAATGTTCTACGCAAGACCTGCTTATATAATATGTTATCAATAAAAATAAAATTCTAGGGATTTCAAGGATACAAATATTATTAAATCCTTTTGAAAATTATGTTCCCTTGAGTTCTTGATAGATATATTTTCCAATCTCAACTCACCCAAAAATCTCTTTAAAATATATTCATTTCATTATAAAACCTGTCTAAAGATGGCCAACTGATAATACCCTTGCCGTAAGTGACAGCACGAAAAAGAACGATATAAACGGGGAATTGCACTCTGTTTGGGAAATAGTTTTTCACCACAATGACATTTCAGTTTTCCGGACACGAACGGTGATGCGGCAAGGGCACGGGAAGATGGCCAATAAAATTAATTGATTTTGAGGTTGCCTCCTTTTTTTTACGGTTGCTGTTTTTATTTTATTTTTGTTTGCTGGTGATTTTGATTTCTGCTGCTGTGACAGTTGACCGCATTTGATTGGCAGTGGCTGCTGGGTGAAGCTGAAAAGAGAATGCGATCTAGCTTAAACTTGGCCCAGGGATTTATAATTAGATTAGTTTCGATTATAGACCACTTGCACATGGGTTACATATATTAAACGATATACAGTTCTAAGGTTAAACAAATTAGTTTAGTTTCATTTTAACTTGGAAACAAATTGTTGAAAGTAAATTGAGTGTAACGTTTTACCCACACTTCTTAAAATGGCAACAACAATCAATAAATAAAAGTACATACATTTATAATTCTTAAAATCTATCTGCTCTAATTCTTTCCCATTTAATATTTTCTCCACACTGGTCAGTGTTTAAGTGTGTGTTTGAAAAATTCCCCATAAATATCCATAAATAGCAAAGTAAAATAAATAAAATAAAATATGCCGTGTAATTGGCGTATCGAAATTCGGATTAATTTTTTACGTTTCACTTTCCTCTCCATTGGGTCCAAAGGCAGGGGAAACGAGCAATTTGGCAGCGTAAACGTGAACGTAAACGAAAACGCTTTCAACGATTCTCCGCTTGCATCTGGCATTGATTTCCATTTTCCATTTTTATTAACAAGCATTTAAATGCAATGAAGTGAAATGCGAATACGAATCTCTCTATACCGACGCACACTTTGTGTGTAAATATATAATAAATATGTATATTGCCGGCTGGCCCTTTGTGCAGGATCCTTTTTTCTTTTTTTTTTTTTTGTTATGGCTTTCCATAGTGTAGATGGCATTTCATGGCTGATTTAACCCGGTCTGCCTAACAGTTTCGTCTGTGGGATTCTCCAGCTTTTTTCCACCCAATTTTCCTTGCCACACCACTGGCAACTTTTCCCGATTCTTCGGCTCCTGTTATTGCTGTTGTTATTCATTCGTTCACATTTTTTCATATGTCAGTGGCGTAAATGAAAACGCAAACGGGGCGTATGATTAATGTGGTTTACATATGAAAACGAGACTCTGCTCTGTCCCAGAACTCCATTTCCCCTGGCCATCTCTCATTCTCCGCTCTCATCTTCCGGCTCCTGTTGGTGCTATTGCTGTTGCTGTTTTCCTTGTTGTTGGCAGTGCTTATTCAATAATTTATTGCTGGCAGCCTCAGCCACTTACAATGTCAGAAAAATATGCGCGAAATATGCATAAAAGTATTACATGCAGGCTTTTGTCAGATGGGGGGGGAAATGTCACGCCTCCCCCAAGCCCTTAACTTCGATTTCATTCTTGGAATTTATGTTTAAAGTAGGCCCTTTCTCAAGTCGAAAGTGAAAGCTTAAGCTTTAATAAATCATAAAGTATTTAATTATCAGTTAATGGGTTGCTAAGAAGTACAAAGTGATAAGGAAAATCAGTTTAATGAGACTCACAAGCAGAGGGAAGATGTTTCTCCCCGTTTTTAATTGAATATTAAATCGCAATTAATTTATTTAATTTGTCAAGAGTTCAGAGAGAAGGTTATCATGACATTTATGTAACTATAAAAGCAGAGCTATTGCTGTGTCCTTAGTAATTTAAGTTGTTTCTTAAAGGTAAGTTTCATAAAATGGAATAAAAGCATAATCCTGTGAATCACATAAATATTTTTATTTATTTAGTATAGCTCTCTTGAAATTCTTTATACTTTCAACTCTTTTTTTCCGGACAGTGTATTTGAATAAATAAACAATTCATTATCAATAATGAAGCACAAATGTCGCATGAGTGATGTGATTGCTGGGTGAACTTGAACTAAAAGCGATAAATCTGCAGTCTCCGTTCCGATCCCAAATGCTTTGCCCGACTTTCCAGCTGCTCTCCCACATCCCAACATCAGTTCAAAATGAGCAGCCGGAAGGTCGGGATCGTGGGTAGTGGATTGATTGGGAGGGCGTGGGCGATGCTCTTTGCAGCCGCCGGCTATCGAGTTCAGCTCTACGACATCCTGGAGAGTCAGTTGTTCACAGCACTGCAGGAACTGCATAAGGATCTTCACAGTCTGGAGGAGAAGGGTTCGCTAAGGGGTCAGTCGGGGGCGGCAGAACAATTCGCCCTTATCGAGGTCACCACAAAGCTGGAGGAGCTCACCCATGAGGCGCTGTATATCCAGGAGTGTGTGCCCGAGGTCTTGCAGCTCAAACGGTCTCTCTACACTCAGTTGGATGAGCTCTTGGGTGAGGAAACCGTGGTGGGCAGTTCGACGAGCACCTTTATGCCGTCACTTTATAGTGAGGGGCTAAACAGGAAAAAGCAGGTGGGTTTCCGAGAATATCTGTTGGAAAAACCATTGTTAATAACCCCTAAAACCATTTCACAGATGCTGGTGGCTCATCCTCTCAATCCTCCGTACTTCATACCCTTGGTGGAGATTGTGCCCGCACCCTGGACATCCCCTGAGGCAGTGGAACGTACTCACTCCCTGATGCTAAGCGTAGGCCAACGTCCGGTGACTCTAAAGAGGGAAATCCAGGGATTTGCCACCAATCGGATACAATATGCGATCCTCAACGAAGTGTGGCGTTTGGTGGCTTCCGGTATACTCAGTGTGGCGGATGTGGATCGAGTGCTGAGCCAGGGATTGGGATTACGCTACGCTCTCCTGGGATCCCTGGAAACGGCTCATCTGAATGCTCCAGGCGGTGTGGCCGATTATTTCCAGCGATTTGGTGGTGAAATCTCGGCTGTGAGTGCCACTTATGGAGCAACGCCAGACACGCAAGGCGATAAGGTAACCCTCGAGGAGATTGCCCGGCAGTGTGAGGAGCTGGTGCCGCTGGAAGCTCTCGAGGCAAGGAGAGCCACCCGCGATAAATTCCTTACACAGCTGGCCAAACTAAAGAAGCAGTTTGAATAGGAAATTAATTGCTGGTTTTGTGATGATGTTCTTTGAATAAACTGAGAATCAACTTAATGGGACTGTGTCATTTTTCCCCCTGGGATCCTGCTCGTCGCGCTCCTTCGCCAATGCCTTTCATCTCCGCCAGCTTGCTTCTCCAGTTTCTCGTGCATTAATGAAATTAATTTCTGCGGCAACCGGAAACGTTTTCCCAGTCGAAGCATTCAAGTACAACGTGTCACATTTCCGCTCCGGCAATGAGTTCTCGCCCCTAGTTTTCCTACCACCCATTACAGTTTTCCTCTTATTTCGGCACTTGGCCTGATGAATGAATGCTGGCAGCTTTAACTCATTTTTCATTTTGGGCACTGGCACATTTTCCGCGGCACTAAAAGCTGCTTAAGTGAAAAATCTCAATTTGAGCTGAGGATTTGTTTTCACTTTGTGTTCTCCGCCGAGGCCTCCATTGGGGTTGTCTTGGATATAAGGACTAAAGGGGGATTTATCAAGGGTGATAAGTATAAACAAGTGTGGGTAAGATTAAAGGTGTTAGATTATTGTCTCTTAGATGATTAAGTTCTTTAATGTTTCTGATTTATGATAAAACCACACTTTTTACGGATTTTCATCAAAATATATATAAGTATTTTTATAATTTATTAAAATTCCATCTTTAAAACGCTTTGAATATCTCTCAACCAGCTGAATTTCAACCATTTTTTCAATGCCAAGCGTTTAAAATTGTGGCCATGGCCATATAACAATTAAAGTCGCATAATTCAGACGGCCTGCGGCTGCGGGGTCCTGTGGAGGATCCTGATTCTGAGTCTGCGGCCCTGAAAATGCTGGAAATGATGCCGTTGGCGGCGACTAAAAACTGCAATGTCATTGTTGCGAGACAGCGGGCGGTGGACAAAAAGCATGTGGCTAGTAATTCATTACCCAGACCATCATCAGCCATTGGAATTTTTGCCGGAGAAAAATCGGGAACGGGGAACGGGGAACTGGGAACGGGGAAAGAGGTCTGGGACCGAGACCGGGGAAATCCGCCAGGACAATTGCACATGGCGCTGGCGGCCAATGCCATTTAATGTGCAAACAAAAGGCGTTGACAAAAAAATTGCATTCGGGGGAAAAAAATTACAAAAGTGAGCAACATGAAATCAGACAAAACAAAAGGGATCGTTGGTTGGTCTATGGGCTCAAACTATGGGATACCTAATAAGGCGATAAATGTACTATTAAGATATTTGTTATCATAAATAAAACCTAACATGCTCTGTATATCCTTCTCAAGAACATTTTATAACCATTAAAATCGGGGATCGGAGAACAGATACAACTAATGACAAATTGCAGCGTTCTGATGCTAATTTTTAATTAATTTCATAAAAGTTCTTATTAGCAAACCTACCCATATCCACTCCGATTACAGGGTATAAAGAGTTGACCAACGTTATGAGGTATTCGCATTTGTAAAGTGCAGACGGTGCACAATAGCACCCGGGGACTCTGATGCGGCGGCGGCGGGTGCTGCTAAAAGTTAAAATAGCGAACGATAATTAATGGAATGACAACATAAAGCAGGCAACAATTTCACTGTCCCAGCGCCACTGTGTGCTTTACTTTGGCCAAGTTCTCCTTTTTGGCCCTTCTTCTTTTTTTTATTTTCGTCGAGCCAGACGTTAGGACTTGGTGTTTATTGAACTCTTTCGGAAACGGTGTGAGAGCGACAGAAGAGGGTTCCGTCCGAGTGGATTGAGAAAGGGCAAAATGGCGCTAAAGCGGAAACGGAAGGAAGCCATGTGCATTTGGGTGTCGGGCCAAGAGGAAATGCATTGTTTTATGCCCAATTTCATTTGGGTGCTGTGGGATATAAAAGAACGAGGTAGATTGTGGATGGTGACTGGTGGATGCATGTAATTAACGCCAGCGCAATCAAAGTAATTAATTTAATGAATTCAAGTGAGACCCGACATGAAAATTGGCAGGAAAAAAGCATTAAGGAGGAGTCTTTGCAAAAGGATTTTGCTTCGACCACTAATTAAATTCCGGACAACAAAGAAAAACTCGGATTTCTTTGTCGCCGCAACACCATTAATTATATCCCATCTGGCATTGCTTTTCCTCACCTCTCCAGGAATTAGAAAAAATAAACCAAGACTTTCGGGAGAGCAGGGGAAATAACAATTTTTCAATGCGAACGACATTTGTTCTTGTTAGCAGAGTTGTTAACAATCGATTTGACGTGTTCTTTTCGGACCTTTTGGTACCAGCAGAGAAATAGTAGTAGCAGCAACAAATAAGGGGCCATGTTTTATGGCCTAGGGCCAGCAGACAGATAGAGCCCCGAATAATAAATCATTCCATAAAACATTTACGCCTCGGAGCGCACAAACTTGATTCGAACCGAATCCCATTCGATTCGATTTGATTCATTACATTCAAAGTATGTGTGGGACACTAGGATGCTGGGATGATAAATAAATAAGCAGGTTGTGAGGCGAGGCGAGTGAAGATGTCAAAGATTGGGAGGGAGTCGGGTTCCTTAAATCATCAGCTAACCTCTTTCATTTATCATCAGGAGAGAAAACGCAATCCACGCAATTCATTTAATTTTAGTATTTCAAGGAGCAAAACAAACCAAAGCAAACAATGGCAAACAGCAGCAAACAATTGTCTTGAAGGCAATTTTTCCTATTTTCCCAGGCTGACATTTATCTTGATCGACCTCAGTGGCACTTTTTGCACCGCACAAAATTCAATTTGCTTTATTGATAACACACAATGGACACACAATAAATACATCAGAATGGGTATCAGAAACTTAGGCGATACAGAAATGCCCTGCCCTTAGGAATGAGTTAACTGTTGCGTTCTGAACTAAAATAAAGTCAGTACTAAGGGTGAAATTTAATTATAAATTTAAAATTTTCATAGTTTTCCCAATATATAAAACATAAAACAAAAGAGGAAGCTAACTTGAAGAAGCCAAGGTGTGAATGGAGCAAAAGTTTTCGCCAATTTCAGGGTCAGTTTTGAAACTATCGTATTCGATAATTCTTCGATTCGATAATACTTTATATTTAAGTTAGGCTGTTTACTTTGAGTATACATTGGTAGGTTCAAATTAAAACAAATTGCTGAATCACTTTAAATTAAAGTTAAGTAATGGGCTGCATGGCAATAAGGCAATTAGTGGGAAAATAAATGCATCCCTCCTCGTATATCATCTATACAATCGATATAATTGTTATGGTTAAGATTTACCGCAGCAGGAGGGACACGTCATTGCTTAATTCCTTCTAGTGTGAAGTTATATATTCTTGGTGACTTTAATTAGGCTTCTCATGGTATCGTCGAATTATGCTTCTTCTTCCAGGTTATCCAGATGGAATGCATTGGCCACGTCATCATTTTGGTAATCACTTCCACTATCACTATCGATGTTAACACTAGGTACCCCTAGGACAGACTGAAGGCAGCGCGGCTGACGTGCCTCTATTTATAGTCCCCGAGTGAAGAGAATAGAGAAAGTGAGAGCGTGGGAAAAAGAGTCATCTCTAGAGAGTTAGAAAGAGAGGAAGAGGGATTGAGTGTAGGGAGAGGTACCCAGTGAGGGAGCCATTAACTTAACGATCGCTTTTGCAGGCGGTCATGGCTGCATGCTGATCATGAATATATATACTATATATGATCGGAAATGACTCATTGACTTCGTTGCAAACTGGTTACTAAAATTATAACACCCTGCAAGGGTATAAAAAACATCACAATGTATATCTGCCTTGTGTGTCCTGCTTTTCCTTTTGAAAATAAAAATAACGAAAGAGCCGGCAAAACATTTTCCTTTTCCTAATCTTCCCGGGTTTGTTTGTGGCATTTTCTTGTGGTCAGCCAATAAATCAGTGGCCTTGGAAATAATTTATGTTCCTCTCTCTGGAATTTTCATTTATCTGTCGAACGTATTGTTATTATTTGAGGATTAAGGGAGCACTCGGCTAATCGAGGGAGCTCGAGCCAATTGGGCGCCCAAGAATGCGACTTCATTATGACAAATTTGTGTGTTCAGGAGAATTAATGCCCTTGGCTTTTCTAAGGGCAAGTGCACAGACTTGGTGCATTATTAAACCGCTTTAAAGGATTTGCCCGTTGCATTGCCTCTATCCTTGCCGAACAGTCACGTCCGTGAGCAGGCCCTGTTCCTTGTCCTGGGAGCCGTCAGCGTTTCTGCAACACTCGTCGCTGTTTTTTATGTCTGGAGCTGCGGCGGTCAAAACCGCAGACGATGCTTCGGAGGCGGACGATGGGCAAATTGTTTGGCCAACACAAAGTTTATTTAATTTCTCACAGAATGGAGATCTACGTGCCCCTTTTTTGACTTTGTTGATTAAAACAAATTGCGCCCTGTCTCAACTGCGCCGGCAAACGTCAGACGGTCGGCAAAGCCCGAGGAGGATGAACTGAAATACAGAGTGGAAAATAGATAACATTTGTGGGGTTTTGAGGAATGCCCTCCCAGATCGGTTAAGTGTTTGATCCCGTCTAGACAAGAATCACAGGATTAAGCAAGTGCTTTTAAAGTGCTTCAAGTATTTGTTCAAAATTGTGTTAAAGTTGTCTATGGATTTATCGAATTACTACTGATTTTTAGTTAATAATAGCAAGAGAATAACTAGATGGATAGTATAGTCTGTATAGTTGTGCATTGAGAAAGGCAGTTCTAGGGACCAGCTGTACTTGGTGAACTTATAGAAGGACAATTTGTACAATACAAAACTGTACCCTTCAATGTTTGCAGCTCATGAGCCCAATCTTATCTAATTAGTCTCGTTCTGAATTTGAGTTTGCAATCAGATTTCTTATTTGCTCTTCCACTGGGTTTCTCAGCCAAGTCAAATTTGCTGGCAATTGTCATAACTCTAATGCAATTAACCCTTGCCACAGCCAGCAGTGAGCTTATCAGATAAAGACAAACGAGGAGAGCGAAAAACAGAAAACAGGACACAGGACCCCGA